ATAGTTTAGTTCAAACAACCTTCCCCAAACTGGAGTTCTTCAGAGGTCTCGCACTACAATACCCATCATCCTCAGCCGGCCTTTGTGTGTGTGTGCTCCAGATGTGATGGATATCCTAGGAATTGTAGTCCCCCACATCTGGAGGGCCACAAACAGAGAACCCCCCCTCCATCTCTTACCTCTGGCTGATATTTGGGTTTTCTTTCTGTGTGTCCTCACAGAAAGGTCCCTCTCTTCTTTATCCACACGAAACAAGGGGCTCAAACTCTTTCCCCCTCCCTCCCCCCCTGCTGCCACTTGTCCCAAAAGTTCCCCCCTTTTTAAAGGGCTCCACCTTCCACTCTTTTTCCCAACCAGAGGTTGGGAGTTCGATTCCCCCACTGGGCTTCCTTGACAGGAACTGGACTTTGATGATCCAGAGGGGTTGGTTCTTCCAGCTCTCGCCTTCTGAAATGATGATGATGATGATGATGTGGTGCTTTCTTTTTTCCTTGCCCCCTTTCCTTGTTGGAGCCTCCCAGAGAGTTTCCTTTGTAGATGATCTTGGGGAAGATGTTGTTCTTCGTTTCTTCAAAGGGCAGGGACTCTTGGGTTCCCATGAGAAATAGAGGGTTTTAAATGATTAGACCTCTTGGTCTCTCTCTCTTTCTCTTTCTGTTTTACTGAGGAAGTGGTGCAACTTAAAGCAGCTGATGTAGGGATGGTGTGCAGCTAAGCAGGACTGGATTTCATGTGAAACAGCCCACAGACCTCATTACCCGTGCAGCAGGATGTAGGCGGAATGCACATTGCTGTCTAATTTTTTGTAGTTTGGATTTGGAAACTTGTGTATATTATGGTCTGATCAATATAAGTCTTAATTTATAAAGTAATATAGCAAAAGAGGACATTCACTGCCCGGAGGGAACTGGAATTGGACTTTTAGGCTGAAGGGAACTGGGAGAGAATCCAAGACCGAGAAGGAATGGAAGACAGAAGGTTAAGATAGGGTAGTTCTAGCTATATATGCTTCTTAGGCTTTGTTGGGATGAGACAGTGGAAGATCGGGTACCGCCTCAAGGGAGCTAGATCGTGGCCCTGAAATTCTGTGGTCTAGTCCAGATTTAAAAATCTCATCTAGAGTAATAGACAGAATTAAGAATCTGGATCCAGATTTTTATTTGTGGAGATGGGCTCTTTTTAGCTTTGAATATCGTCTTCTAATGCTATAAGCTGCCTTGGGCTCTTTTTAAGGGGAAAGGCAGGATAAAAATATTTTAAATAAATAAATAAATAAGGCCAGGGGAGTTTTGGGCAAAAAAGAAAAAATAAAATCTGGAGAGTGACAGTTGTCCCCCAGTCTCCTGTTCTGAAATTCATATGTGTGCAGTAAAGATGGCTGTTTCCGGTTGGTTTTTCACATTTGGTGGTACATTCGGAGGACTCTGTTGTATCACAGCAAAGTCTACATTCTGTTTCTCATGACCTTTGCGAAACTTGCAAATAAAGGTGAGAGTGACAGCTCTCTTAGAGTTGGGAATTTCAGTTTCTGTTTACTCCGATGTGTGCTTCTCACATGGTGTGCACAGAGGTATACTGGGGATTGGACAGTTCCTCTGTGTTGTGGCTTGTGATCTAAACAGCCTTTCTTGTGAGACGGGTGTGAGAAACTCCACCTTCCTAGCCAGCTTGGTTTCAGGGAAGTAATGCTTTGAATGGCAATGAAGAGGAGGAACAAAATCCTATCTGTTCCTTCCCTTCATTGGGCACATTTTGACCTGGCTTCTAAGGGATGGTAAAAACATGATGGGCCCCTGCATGTCCTGCATTTGAATATGTCTGTAAACACATAAAATGATGAAGTAATCGGAAGGAAGAGGCTTGTATGACTGTACTGTCCTGAATATGCCAAACTGGTTTGTTACAAAAAAACCAAAACCAAGTAGGGGCAATGACCAAAGTATACCAAGTCCTGGCCAGAATCTGATCACTTACATTCACCAGCATAACTCTGACTGTGAATTGCTGTTAGGTAAGTCAATACTTGTACAGTATTTCTTGTTGTGTATCAACACAATGCACGAGCTAGCTCACAACAAGAAATGCAAACATTTTCTTCTTAAATAGCAGCAATTCGCCATTGAGGTTTACACTGTTTGCCTTATGACCTTGTAATAGGATTCTGGCCCCTGTTTTCTGAATGGTCCGTATCTCGGAGACCCCTGGTTCAATTCCCACTTTTCCAGGTAGAGTATAAGGCAGCTCCTTAAACTGTGGGGAGGAGCCACAAGTGGCAATACTGGGGTAGAGGGCCAAAGTCCCACCTGGTGGCTGAAATCCACTCGTGCTACTCTGCTATCATAACTTTTACATGATATCCTCAGTCACCCATGTTAATTTGTCATTGAATTTAAAGTATCCTAAACTTCCCGCCCCTTGCAACAAGGTCCTGAAGCGGCTTAAGGGATCCCTGTAGACTCAGGGCAGCCTTTGGGAGCCTCAGAATGGTTGCTGGAGAAACCTTTAATAACTGGATTGCCACCACTGGCAGCGACCCCAGGATTCCAGCCGATATAAGGCCATTTGTGTATTCGTAGACAAATATAGGCATTGGCAAAACATACTGATCTGTATATGCATTATGACAACAAATTGCGCTACTGTGGGTAGTTGCTCGGCTTATCTTCCCCTTTACATGGAATGGCCACAGATTGTTTTTCACTTTGCTTCTGGCTCCATTTTTCCCCACTCCTGGCTTTGTGTATTTATGGCAGCCTGTACTTGCATGCTGACTGTGGGTAGTTCTGTATAAATTTGAGGAAATGGACTTAACTTCCTGAAAGCTTATTTTAATTTTACATAACGTGTAATGGAAAAAAAAAGTTGACATGCAAAATATATCAAATATTTTTCAAATATCATTTGTTTTTGAAATATCAATTTTTAATTATGTTGTTATTTGATACGTGCCCATGGGCATGACTGCTTGGGCATATGTGAAATACAGTGCTGCCCCGCATGACGGCGATAATCCGTTCCATAGAAATCGCTTATAGCAAAAACATTGTCTTGCGAACACCGTTTCCCCATTGGAATGCATTGAAACCCATTTAATGTGTTTCAATGGGGAAAAATCGTCGTTTTGCAAAGATCGCCCATAGGGAAGCCATTTTGCGAAGCACCGATCAGCTGTTAAAATTGCTGCCCTGCGAAGCATCGATCCCAAAAACACCCGTTTTGCGAAGTGCCAATCAGTGGCAAAATCGTCGTCTTGCGAAAATTGGTTTGCGAAGCAGGGACCCAAACATTGTCCAGCGAAAATCGCCCATTGGAATCACTGTTTTGCAAATCGCTATACCGATCGCAAAACCTCATCGTCATGCAGATTCATCGTTTTGCGAGTTCACCGTCTAGCGAGGTACCACTGTATAACTTTCCATACTAAGTTAGAAACAAAGATTGTCGGCCTGCGAAAGGAAAAGAGCAAAGTGCAATATTATTCTTGGCTGCATCGTAAGGTTTGGGTAGAGGAAGCGGTTGTTGCTTTTTAGAGCAGTGAGTTTAACCTAGGAGAGAGCTTTTAAGTTTGCTTCTCACTGTGTTCTGAGGTCCTAGCAGACACGATGGTACTGAGACAGAGCCAAGCAGTCTGTATTTCAGGGCAGGCTCGGTTGGCTGACCAGTGGAAGAATTTGCTTCAGGCAGAACAGTGAATGGCAGGGATATTTCAGAGATGGGCAGCTGTCTCTTTTATTGGCTTAAGAATCCCAGAGACCACCCTCCAGAGCTTTTTGCAAACTTTAAATTTAAAGAATTCTTGATTCCCCTCCCCCCCCCAGCATTTTGTCTGAATCTAAGAGTGAGTTGGTAATCACTACCAACATGAATCTGACCCAACTCCGAGAGGCAGTGGAAGACAGGAGGGCCTGGCGTGCTCTGGTCCATGGGGTCACGAAGAGCTGGACATGACTAAACAACAACACGAGCTGAATCTCTTGGCCTTTCCACACAAAAATCCACTCCTGACACCCCAAATTGCCTTTGTTTCAGCATTATCCGTTGGGTCAGCTCCCTTTCTTTCTTCCTGGTTGTATACGTACAATGAGGTGGGGAGTTACGGGTCTTTGCTGATCTGTTGTGTCTTTCTGCCTGGGATAAATGAAGGTAAGGAATTGATGTCTGGATGATGTAACGAGGCCTCTTAAGATGTTGGCTCATTTAGGATATGGATAGTGGTATCGTCATCTAGGTTCTGATTCATACAATGCAGTGCCTTGGACCAGCAGCGCTGTGTTTGTTAGCGGCTACATTTACAACTAGCTTTCTTCTAAGGAAATTGAGGCAACCTAGTTCAGTCTCACAATAGTGTTTGAAGCAAGGCAGGCTGAGAGAAGGAGCAGCCGGGTTCTTAAACCCAGTAACGGAGAGGACTGTAGCATATACGTAGGGCTGTGGAATATGTGGCTTCCCAGACGTTGTTGGCCCGCAATTCCGATTAAGAACAGATCTTCTGCTGCCAAAGGGACTCGGCTCCATGAACCTTGAGGTCCCTTCGAGCTCTACAATTCTTTCACTCTGTGTTTCACCCCTGAAACTGGCCATACTGTCCACCCTATCTGGAGGGTTGTGCATTCCCCGTTCATCATCCAAGATGATGTTTTTGCACTGCAATTCCCAGAAACCCCAGCCAGCACAGCTGGTAGTGAAGGCCTCTGGGAACTGCAGTCCAAGAATAAATTGCTCAAATGTTGGGAACCACTGATTGAAGACTTTTGCACCACGAAAGTCACCGTGGACGGCCCGGGTAGCCTTGGCGGTAGTTTACTGACGGCACTTTGTTTTACCTCCAAGCAACAGGTTATGAGCCTCCATGAATACGAGGAAACGTCACGGCTCTAGAAACACCGAGCAGGGCGTTTACCTGGGACCTCCCCAGACACAGGTTTTGCCCCCGCTCGCTGCCGCTGCCACCGCTGCTACTGCCGCCGCCTCGTTCCCGCCAACCCTGCCCCTGCGGGACACCATGTCATGTCAAGACCGCACCCAGGAGTTCCTCTCCACCTGCAAGTCCTTGCAAAGCCGACAGGTGAGTGTCAACAGGAGCCCGTGCAGGATCCAGCTGGCTCTGTGGGGCCTCATTTGCGGGCCCCGCGTAGGTAGAGCCCACTAAGAATCAGCCGATGTACATGTCTGGGGCAGAGGAGCCCGGCCTCTCTTTTCAGCCTGCCACAGTGCCACTCTTTCTTTCTTTCTTTCTTTCTTTCTTTCTTTCTTTCTTTCTTTCTTTCTTTCTTTCTTTCTTTCTTTCTTTCTTTCTTTCTTTCTTTCTTTCTTTCTTTCTTTCTTTTGCCATTTTCATGAAGATAGTGACTCTTTCTTTCTTTCTTTCTCTCTTTCTTTCTTTCTTTCTTTCTTTCTTTCTTTCTTTCTTTCTTTCTTTCTTTCTTTCTTTCTTTCTTTCTTTCTTTCTTTCTTTCTTTCTTATTTGATTTATACCCTGCCTATCTAGTCTACTAATCTGGGCTAACTGAATTTCAACGTTTGTGCATGGGAGTGCTCTGCATTTTTAAAATTAACAGTGATGGAGATGAGCCAAGGAGCAGGGAACAAAGTAGCCCTTCATTCCTCACTCTCCTCTCAGTGTCTCCCCCAAGCTCCTGCTGCCTTCCAGAAAAACTCCATTTACACCTTTGGAAGCTCCCCTTCCATTGCTAATAAAAGCCCCAGGAGGGGGCTGTCAGGCCGAAGGTGGGAAAGGAAGCTGATTTTAACCCCTTCAGTACTTTTGCTCTCACTGTTACTCTCTCTCTTTTTTTTTCTTTTTCACTTCTGCTTCTTATTCCTGTAAAAAAAACATTTTCAAGTTGAGCACAATCGTTCCACGCAAACAATTGGAATCCTGTTTGGTTTCATTCTTAGCCAACACGGAGGACAGCATTTGGATAACTGGACATATAGCTTGGTTCATCCCTAAAGAAACTGGGGGTCCAAAATAAAAATGCAAATATTGGCATTGAGGCGACAGTCTATCAGCAGGTCTATCAGTCGGGGAATGAGCAAACGATAGCTGCCATATCAGAAGAGGCGTATTTTCCGGAATCTCTCCCTTCGGGAAGCTTGGACTTATGTTTTCTTTTTTTTGTTTCCTTTTTTTTTTCCTGCTTGTTTTCTGTTCTCTTCTTTTTGTTCATGCATACCTAACCCAGCAGCAATTGGCTTTTCCCCCCATCTTCTCATTTGCAGAACGGGCTGCAGCTCAACAAACCAGTACTGAATGCTGTACGGCAAAGAAGCGAATTCACGGTCATGGCCAAGTGAGTTGGACCATCTGTTGTGCTTTCTTGAAGTGGTGCACAACTTTCTCCCAGCCCCTGGGCCAGTTTTCTACACACACACACCCATAATCCTCTGGGAACCACTCAGACTACCAAATGTAAAATATTAATAACAAAAATAGCAATAAATACAACTTCAGAAGTCTCTTTCTAGTTTCTGAAAAAATTGTGATTTTATTAGTTAATTCGTTTTGTTAGTTACATTTCTACCCTGCCCAATTGTTTTATTATATACAGTGGTGCCTCGCTTAGCGACGTTAATCCGTTCCAGGAAAAACGTTGCTAAGCGATTTAATTGCTAAGCAATTTTAAAAAGCCCATAGAAACGCATTAAAACATGTTTAATGCATTCCTATGGGCTTACAAACTGACCTTATGCGAAGATCCTCCATAGGGGCGGCCATTTTCTGTGCCTCTAAAGTGAGGCAAAACAGTGGGTGGCCATTTTGTTTTTCTGGTGGCCATTTTGAAACCGCCGATCAGCTGTGCAAAAAGGGTCGCTTTGCCATGATCGCTTCCCCGCGATCATCGCAAAGTGATTTTCCCCCATAGGGGCCATCGCTAAACGATTGCTCTGGCGATGGCCAAAACCCCATCGCTAAGCGATTTCATCGCTCAACGGAGCGATCGCTAAGCGAGGCACCACTGTACATTTCTATCCTCCCTAATTAGCCACACTAGACGCTGTTCCAAGTCCTCCATACAGAGCCCGTTACCATAGTCTTTCGAGACTGAAGGATGCTTAATGGGAGGTGAACAGCAGTTAAAAGCAACAATGACAGAACTACCCACCCCCAGCCAACAAAGACGTGAATAATGATTTCCAAGCAGTAACAGCAATGACACCCCCCCCCAAATTAAATAAGCCTAGAAACAACAGCGAATCCAGGGGTGTGAACCAATACAGGAGGCCCATGACCTATTTAAAAGGTGCTTTGCCGCTCCTTGTATCTTTCAGGAGCCTAATTCTGTTTTCTGCCAGGGGCTGAGGCAGCAGAATCGGCCCCAGGGGGAAATGCCTGTCGCTCCTGGGGTAAACTTTGCCAACCTGCTTTAGAGGTTAATTCCAGCCAGGGCTAATATAAAGGATGTGGTCAGGGCTGGGGGGTGGGGATGCTGAGAACTGTCAAGTTTGTCCCTATCTGATATCAGATCAAGCCCTCTTATCATGGCAAGGACAGTGACCGGTGAAGTCAGTGGTGGAACGGAGAGGGTGGGAAATGTTTAGGAAATGCGGCGGCCTTGAATGATCTTGAGCAGTGGTCTCCAGCCTCGGGTCTCCAGATGTTCTTGGACTGCAACTCCCAGAAGCCTTCGCCTCTACCTGTGCTGGCAAGGGCTTCTGGGATTTGCAGTCCAAGAACATCTAGAGACCCAAGGTTGGGAGCCACTGATGTAGAGCAACTGTCCCCTCTCTGGCATGCTCTGGATATTCTGGGCTGCACTAACCAGGAATGCTGTTTTTTTAACTTACAGGTCCCTAAATGTTTGTGTTTTTTAAATCGTTTTTATATTTGGTTTTTAAAATCTTAATGTACGGTTCATTGTTTTTTAAATGTGGTATTTATATAGTCTTTTTAAAAATTCTTACTTTATCTGTTGTTAGCCCCCTTGGGTCCCCTATGGGGAGAAAGCCGGCATAAAAAATAATTTAAATAAATAGCCATCACTCCCTACCCGTGTAGGCAAAAGCTGGGGTTAAGCGATGCTTGCTTCCTTTTTATTGCCGGTTAATTTGCCAAACCCTTGTGATTCTCAGACGCATCGGGAAGGACCTCAGCAACACATTTGCCAAGCTCGAGAAGCTAACGATATGTGAGTATTTGAAGTTCGGACAAAGCGGAAGCGAATCGGGAGAGCCTCTAAAATCTGAGCTTTTGGGTTGGGCGTTTGATGTGGGCGGAAAGCTGAGTGGTTTAAGTCTCCGGCTGTGGAGTTGAGAGTTCAGTTCACCCACTGGACCTCCTTGACAGGGGTTGGACCTGATGATCTATAGGTTCCCTTCTAAGATTATTCTAAGGTTGGTAGACCTACCATGTTTCCCCGAAAATAAGACAGGGTCTTATATTAATTTTTGCTCCAAATAGAACACATCAGGGCTTATTTTCAGGGGATGTTTTATTGTACAGTCATGTCATCTTCTGGTTGCTGCACAAGGGTGGAGGGCGGGGTTTCCCTTAACTAGGGCTTATTTTTGGGGTAGGGCTTATATGATGAGCATCCTGAAAAATCATACTAGGGCTTATTTTCAGGATAGGTCTTATTTTTGGGGAAACAGGGCAGTGTTTGCAGTAACTAGGACTAGAGGGTCACCAGAGCACCATTAATAGCTAAAGATCTTGCTCTTTGCGTCTTTAGTGGCCAAGCGGAAGTCCTTGTTTGACGACAAGGCGGTGGAGATCGAAGAACTGACCTACATCGTCAAACAGGTAAAGGCCTCTTGTCTTAGCTCGTCAGCAAGACAGGAATAAACAGAGCTTTCTTGATTAGCTCGTTCTTTGCTGATCTGCTCTTCTTTGGATGTGGTACCAAAAGTAAGGTGTGAATCTAGAGCACACAACAAGTTGGGGGAAAGGCCAACCCCGGTCAATGTGATGGAAGGTGCTGCTGTTCCATTCCTAGTCATTCATTTCCTTCTCGCAGTCTCTTGAAACTTGTGTAGATATGAAGTCTGCTTGTTGAGAAAGAGTCTGGAGACAAACTTATTTCCAGACTTCTGATCTCAGAACGTTGGGTCGCCCGGCTCTCCCCACCCACCCCGCTCACGCAGTCCGCTTTCCTTCCCTGCAGGACATCAACAGCCTGAACAAACAGATTGCGCAACTCCAGGAGTTTGTCAAGGCCAAAGGCAGCCAAAGCGGGAGGCACGTGCAAACCCACTCGAACACCGTGGTGGTGTCCTTGCAGGTCAGGCCTGGGGCAGCGAGAGGCGAAAGGCCCTCCTGCAACACCCTTTTGCCCCTATTCTTGGCTGTGGTGGGTGGGCCTGATGCCGGTTACAGGCTAAAACATCAAGATTCCCAAGTCCTGCCCAATGTATGTTTAGCAAGTAGGAGCATGGAATGGGGACTGGCATAGAGGCTTAACACAATCGTCTGATCTTGGCTTCCACATATTCTTTTTTCTGACTCCACCCTCCTTCTTCTTCTTTTCCACAGTCCAAATTAGCCTCCATGTCCAATGACTTCAAGTCCGTGCTGGAGGTGCGGACAGAGGTAAGTCTCCTGCTCTCAAACTCTGCAGTAGAGAAGTTCAAGGGACGTGGTCATTTAGATGCCTTGGGTTTCGATAAGATAGCTCACCCTCAGCCTAGGTCAAGGGCGAAATCACAGAGAAGGGCTAAATGTATCCTTTTGATGTGTTTCCCATTTTATTAGTACTTTTGTTTTTCCTTTTGGAGAAAGGGGAACCAAAACACCCCATCTCACCCAGACTCAGATAAATTGAAGCACATCACAACATTAATTAAATTTGTACATCGCTTCCTTTGTGCCGATGCACTACTCTGGGCCATTTGCTGAAAAAGCCTCTCTGTAAAGCAGTGTTTTCTAGCAAAAGTCAGAACATTGGTGAAAATTAGAGCACCTTCCAGACACAGGCTAGAGCTTGGAAATAATTAATTAAACTGTGATTTGTTAACAATTTTGACCAGGATTTAAAATGTTGTTTTAATCTTTAAAAGCCAGTGGTACTTTCAAGTATCAATTATCGGTCTTGTTGCTTTAATTTTATTACTGTTCATTTTTAGGTCTGTGTGGGGGGCGGGGTTTGACAATTTTTAAAAATCTGTGAAATAACGCATTCACATCTCAAATCTTTCTCAGTGTTGCATCAGGGAGAAAATAATTTGCTTTTAACATTATAATGTTAGATCAGCCTTTCCGAGCTCCAGGATAGCCTGTGCTAGTGACGAAAATGAGACAAGGATTTTAATCGTTATGAAGGCTGTCTTGGAGAGTAGGAGGGCCAAGGAGGCTGACTCACGGGAAGCCTTGAGAAAGAATCAGCGGGGTTCTGGGGAAAGCTAGTGAAGAAACCCAACTTTTCCGAGCTCTCATTGACCACACAAGCCAGGACGAGTATCATCAAAGGCATCAAAGTTGGTTTGATCAGTGTCCAGCCTTTGGGAACCTTACAGGCAGAACAGAGACATGGCGGTACCCTTTGATGTGTGTTTGTTGTCTTGCAAGTGGTTTCAAAAGCATTCAATGCCCCAGAGCTGGACTCTGTGCCTTCTCATGTTGGCACGTTCTCCCTCTACTTTGCTTCCTTCTGCAGAACCTCAAGCAGCAGAAGACGCGTCGAGAACAGTTTTCCCGCACCCCTGTGTCTGCCATGCCCTTGACCGCAAGCAACCTCAGTGAGTTGGATGGTAGAGTCCGTAACAGTAACTGCTGGATAGCTCAGAGCTTTAGGCCTCTGGCAGTGGAGCCAAAGGTTGGGAGTTCGATTCCCCCCCACTTGCCCTTCTCGACAGGGGCTGGACTGGATGATCCAGAGGGTGGCGACCCCAAGGGAGGCCCGAAAACCTGCTCCTTTGAAACCAGGGTTTAGGAGACAAGTTAAAACCTAGCTCTTTTCACAAACCTTTTATGGTTTTACCCCATAGTAACCACACTGAATGGTTGGACTTTATTTTTTACTTAAGAACGTGACCTGTTTTTGCTGCCTAATATTATTGTACTCAACATTTGTAACTATTTTATAGTCACTTCATTCGTTATTTTATTTGTAGCCATTATAGTGGTGCCTCACTAGACAGTTACCCCGCATGACAGTTTTTTTTACTAGACATTGGCTTTTTGCGATCGCTATAGCGATTCGCAAAACATTGATTCCTATGGGGGAATTTCGCTGGACAATGTTTGGTCCCTGCTTCGCAAACCGATTTTCGCTAGACGATGATTTTGACAGCTCCCTCCGTGCTCGCAAAACGGGTGTTTTTGGGACCTAAGCTTCTCAAGACAGCTATTTAAACAGCTGATCGGCGGTTCGCAAAGCGGCTTTCCTATGGCCGTTCTTTGCTAGACAACGACAATTCTTCCCCATTGGAACGCATTAAACCGGTTTCAGTGCATTCCAATGGGGAAATGCTTTTCGCTAGACGATGATTTCGCTGAACAGCGATTTCAGTGGAACGGATTATCATCATCTAGCGAGGCACCACTGTATGTTCCTTGCTTGCTGTTTATGTGGGTTTTCTTTTTAAATAGATGTTGTTGTGTACTTGTGATTTGTTTGTCACCCAGAAGAGTGGCTTTGCCACCGGATGGATGGATGGATGGATGGATGGATGGATGGATGGATGGATGGTCGGTCGGTCGGTCGGTCGGTCGGTCCATCGATTGGTCGGGGAGGAGGAGGAAATGGGAAGCGGTGAATCTTTCTTAGCTGAGAGAGGAACAGGCTGCAGACTTTGACATATTGAACCGATCCCGCAGGTGGCTCCGCCATGCTTCAGGATGAACCTCGGCATTCGGGGGATGTGGCTATTGACATGGACAACCGGGCCAGCCAGCAGTTGCAACTGATCAACGAACAGGTTGTTTGAGGTGGGAGGGTGGGTTTGGACGTGGGTGGGGAATTTCAGGTGCTTGCTTGAGAGTACTAGAAATAGTTACAATGAAAGAGGCTGGCTGGTTTTATTTCAAGGGCAAGGTGTTTGTTGAGAATTTTGATTATAACGTGTATTCTCACAACATCAGCAGAGTAAGGAATCGGTTAGCAGTGATACTTATGACACAGAGAGTAAAAACCAACAACTTAGTCTATTTACATACTGTATATATACATGGAGAATAGACATGCCTATGGCAGCATGACATGACATGAAGCAACACGCAGCGTAGGAAAAAGTGATCTGACTTACAGCAGGTAAAGGCGTTCATTTTACACGTGACTTATGTACAGTTCTCGGATCAGTCGAAAAATACATTACTTCATTTTCTGTTACGCCAAGTTTCAATATGTGCATAGCTGTACAACGTTAAGTCTTAATCCTTGATACCCACACCTGAATACAATCAGTACCGTGACTTAGGTAAAATCAGCCATTTTACATTTAACTGTATAATATTAATATTTAATACATTTTCATATCAACATCTCAACAGTATTCTGGCTCGCGATAGGTTTTTGGCGTCATTGTGAATACCAACACCTCTCTTTCTCTCCCTGATCCCTATCTTTGGGATCTCATGTCATTAAAGGCTTATTAGGGGATAAACCAGACTAGATGACAGAAATGGCGCTTTTTAATAGACATACATATGTGATAAAAAGGGATGTCAGTGATAAAAATTGATTACCTGGTCTCGTTCATCGTCTATCATACTGATGTACTTAGGCCAGGATTTGAGAAATACAGCCTGATTTATATTCTGCCAGGTCTTCTAGAGTACAGTGGTGCCTCGCAAGACGAACGCCTCACGGGATGAAAAAAACGCAAGACGAGTGTTTTTTTCAATCACTATGGTGTTTCGCAAGACGGCTTCTTCTATGGCCGTGCTTCGCAAGACGTTTTTTTCCCCCCAAGGCTGATGCCTTGCAAGACGAAAAAAATTCAAGATGATTTTTTTCGCAAGATAACGCTACTCGCGGAACGAATTACATTCGTCTTGCGAGGCAGCGCTGTACATAGTTAAATTTTTCTAGAAGTTTGCAGTGGTACACAGTGGAAGAGGAGTACTAATAACAATTAGCTTGAGTGTGACCACTGTTGCCACCTCTGCCAGTGCCATCTTCAGTGACAGCCACTTCCCAATAGCTGCCTTGAAGAGGGCGGAGCATCTTAGTCTGGTGTCTCAGCTATAACCATTCTGTCTTAGGTGACCCTGCTAGGAGTCCAGGCTTGTAATGGCATATGGCATCCTGACAGTATTGCTCTCAGCTTCACACTCAAACCCCTTCACCACATTAAGGTATGCATCTAAGAAGGGGAGCTATTTTTTACCATGAAAAATCTATAACCATTTAAAGAAAATACAGACACAAATTGACAGTACCTTTTGTTTTTGAAGTGGTGCTAATTCTAATGACTGGTCATTGGGATTCATTCTCATCAAATGGGTCTGAAAAATGTGTTGATAAGAACAGTAAGTAACAACAACTAGGAAAATAAGCATTCACATTCATACAGCCTGCTTTCCTATAGAAGATCTTTAGAACATGTTTTCGCGAAGGCTTTCACAGCTGGGATCTAATGGTTGTTGTGGGTTTTTTGGGTTCTTTGACCATGTTCTGAAGGTTGTTGTTCCTAATGTTTCACCAGTCTCTGTGGCCGGCAGAGTGCTGTCCTCTGAAGATGCCGGCCACAGAGACTGGCGAAACATTAGGAAGAACAACCTTCAGAACACGGCCAAAGAACCTGAAAAACCCACAACAACCATGTATACCTTACTGAAACAGTGATGTCTACATTGGCTTGGGCATGTCGTTAGAATGGTTGATGGTCAGATTCCAAAAGATCTCCTGTATGGAGAATTAGTGCAGGGAAATTGCCCCAGAGGGAGAGCACAGCTGCGATACAAGGACATCTGCAAGCGGGATCTGAAGGCCTTAGTAGTGGACCTCAACAGATGGGGAACCTTGATCTCTGAGCGTTCAGCCTGGAGGCAGGCGGTGCATCATGACCTCCCGTTTTGAAGAAGAGACCCTTGTCCAGCAGGCCGAGGCAAAGAGGAAGTCCCAAAACCAGCAAAATCAAGGAGCTGGACAGGGGACAGATTGTATTTGTCTTCCGTGTGGAAGGGATGGTCACTCTCAAATTGGCCTTCTCAGCCACACTAGACGCTGTTCCAAGTCCTCTATTCAGGGCACGTTCCCATAGTCTCTCGAGACTGAAGGGTGCCTAATCGAATGGTGGAGGCGGCCTTTTTCCCCTAACGCCATTCCTCAGAGTTTGTATAGACTCTTAGGGTATTTTCAGGTGGGTGATGATGGCAGACCCCCTGGGGCCGAGCCCTACCGTTAGGTAGAGTCAAGCAGCTGTCTTACACAACAAACTGGGGGCGGGGTGTCAGAATATGTGGAAAAAATTAAAGCAAAAGCAATGTCCTGCTTCTGTACTGCCCCATAATGCTTAAAGCATTCTCTGGGCGGTTTACAATTTAATTACACAAGGCTACACCTTGGCCCCTCCTCCAGAAGGCTGGGCACTCAATTTACTGACCTCAGAAGGATGGAAGGTTGACCTCAAACCGGCTGCCAGAATTCAGGGTTGAACTCAGGTTTTGAGCAGAGTCTTGACTGCAGCACGGCAGTTTTAACCACTGCTCCAGGAGGCTCCTTCATCTATTAGTCCTGCATTTTTGCAGATGGCCTGAATGTTTTTTTTAATGCTGGGTGCTGAAATACCTTACGCTGGCTTTGGCCACTGCACCCTTAAAGGCTGGCACAATTTTCTGCTCCAACGCAGGCAACAACAAGGAGCTTTCAGACGACCCTGGGCTCCTTGGTACGAGTGTCCTCAAACCTGGAATCAGCTTTTTGGCTTTGTACATTGCTCGTGGCACCCCCATGCTCTGTCATTAATCTTTCTCCAAGGCAGAATCAGTGCTTTGGAGTCTAAACACTTAGAACTCTTCAGGTTTGAACTGCAAGTCTAGAAATTCCCGAGGAATTCCGGGAGCTGTAGCCTGCACACGTCTCCTTTCTCACGATAAACTCCTTAATCTCTCCCCTTGTGCATCAGTGGTTTAATCTGCCTGTTGTTAGGCTTCCCTTCGCTGATTAAGACCCTGTGCTTGATGGATGGAGGGGCGCGTTTGTTGCCCTTTCGATGGCCTTCACCCGCTCTTCCTTCTGCCTCTTCTGCAGAATCGACGCCAACGTGGAAGATGCACAGCTGAATGTCGAAGGGGCGCACACGGAGATCCTGAAATACTTCCAATCTGTGACCTCCAACCGGTGGCTGATGGTGAAGATCTTCCTCATCCTGATTGTCTTCTTCATCATCTTCGTGGTGTTCCTGGCCTGATCGGGTGGGGGGGAGTCGGCTCAGACGCCCGACAACCTCCCTTCTGCCCATCTACTTTCTCAGAGCTGCATCTCTAGACTTTGGACTCTCCCGCTCTCTTTCGAGGCCAGCGAGGACGAGCATTGCCTAGGCCATGGCTGGTACCCACGGGACCCTGCCTTGCCCGTGGTGACTTTTCATTCCCGTGGCTCTTGGGCCTGGAGCGGGGCCACCCTGACCGGAGTGCAATATCCTTCGGGACTACGCTGTGAAGGGCTTCGCCACCACCTCCTACTTCCCACATGGGACACCATCTAGATGGGTGTATCTGTAGCGGGACCAGAAATCTTGCACCTGCTGCCCTCTTCTGTATATTTTGCCCTAACCCTGGGACTCAAAGAGTGCTAACAGAAGCCCAACCTTCATCTCTTTATCTTTTTTTTAAAAATGACATTAATATACTTGTACGGGGGTTTCAACGTCTGGTACCCTACATTCAGCAAGCCTTCGCCTTTCTATACAGCAGGCAGGGAGCTGTGGCTTGTAGGGTTGCGAGGCAGCCCTGGCTGTGCCTTTTGCCCTGTTCGGAGGGCAGTGCACATTTCCCTCTCTCCCCAGCCCCTGACTGACTCCCACTGTGGCATATTTAAATCTCTCCCCCCCCCGCAGCTATGGTGGGGAGTTCCTCCATCCCCTTGTACAGGAACAGCTGGCCTCCGCAGCCCCCCCAAAAGGTTTTCAAGCACATCTGGTTCTCTCCTTGCCCAGAGTGTCCTCGTATGACCCTCCTTCCCTTTTGTTTCTCCTTCGAGAAGGAAGGTTTCTCTTTTGCACACACAAAAACACATTCAATCCGAAGTATTCCTTCCCTGAGCCCAAAATTCTCCCTGCCAGTGTAAGATTAGAAGGAGTTTAGCTCCATTCTCCTTGCTGCCACCCTTCCTGACGTTTGGGGGAAAAGAGAAGGCACTCAGTTCTGCATAGAGGTTGCACCTCTTAGTAAATGCACTCCATGTCTTCTAGCTGTCCGAAACAAATTCACCCCCCTAGTGCTTCCTCTTGCTCTCGTTTGAGGTCCAAACCCATTTCCCCCCCCCATCCCATTTACCCGTTGCAGAAAAACAGAAGAAAACTTTCTGCTGCCCGGATTGGTTCCTCTTTACACTCTTTGCTATCAGCATAGCTGTTTAACTTTCTTCCTAGATTCTACCTGCCCAACCTCTTTGGAATAGCCTATGCTAAGGCCATTTTACCCTTCTCCCTGGCCTGGTTATGGTGGCTGAGTTGCAACACCTAATCCCTGCTTAAGGTCGGCCCCACCACCTGCCTCTTTGACCGGGTGGTGTCAGTTCAGTTCCTTAAGTTGCCATGGCCTTAACCATTCCACACGCTGCGCGCCCCCCCTTTGATTCCCCAAAAGCAGACTCTTTGCTGTGAGGTATTGGGGGGCTGAGGGACACCTGCTATCTATTGTCCAGCTAAGGTGGAGGATGGGTGGCGTGGTGGTGTTAACCTAACCATGGTTCGGAGGAGACCAGTATGGGCCGTTGGCCTGTGCTTCAAAAATGATTAAAAATACTTTAAAAAATAAAGACATCTATTCGTTCTGTGTCCTGTACACCAGCATAGATTGGTTTATTCAGAGGGCGAGGAAGCCACAGCCCTCCAGATGTTCACAACATATATTTATATCTTAAGGTGGGGGTTTGCTCACCTTAACATTTGACATTTTGCCTGATCTAAACAGGCTGCTTTACTTAATGTATTATTTTATTTTGATTTTTTTAAGAAGATATCTTTACCCAGTTGGTTTTTTTTTTTGCTCGTAACTCCATATTTATTTTTTAATTTAAAATATTTTTTACCATACATTTCCCTTTAAAAGGGAAGCTTACACCATTAAAAGATAATATTCAAAGCTAAAAAGAAGTGTATAAATACAGGGGGTGGGGGAAGGATCAAGCAACTAGAACACTTAAAAAACGTCAAGTAACACCGAAAACACATTCAAAGCAAAAAGGCAAAACACTCCATTTAAAAAACCCTCTCAGGCAGCCAGTAAATTTGGGGAAAGCTTGCCTGCTTGTGGAAGGACAGCAAAGATGGAGCCAGCCTGGCCTCTTGTAGGAGGGAGTACCTTAAGGTGCGCTGCTCTTCCAGATTGGTTTTACCTGCTGGTTTAGGTACTGTATTTGGCTGCCAAGCCAGAGGTTGGAAGTTCGATTCTTGAGCATTTTCAGCTTTCAAAAAAGAAGACTGGGGGGAGATAGGATAGTATTTTTCAAATACTTGAAAGGCAGTCATAGAGAGAAGAGGCAGGATTTCGTTTCGATCTTCCCAGAGTGCACAACATGTCATAATGGGCTCAAGGCACAAGATCAAAAAAGAAGACTGGGGGGAGATAGGATAATATTTTTCCAAATACTTGAAAGGCAGTCATAGAAGAGGCAGGATCTCTTTTCGATCTTCCCAGAGTGCACGACATGTCATAATGGGCTCAAGGCACAAGACGCCAGATTTGGGCTGAATATCAGGAATAAAAAACTTCTTAACTGTTAGAGCAGTACGACGATGGAACCAATAACCTCTGGACACTCATCTAGTAAGAGAGCGCTCCAACACTGGAGGCGTTCAAGAAACGATTGGACACTCAACTAGTAAGAGCTGCTTTGACTTGGATTCCTGCCTTGAGCAGGGGGTTGGACTGGATGGCCTTACAGGCCCCTTCCAAATCAAATTATCCGAGGGTTCGATTCCTCACTGTGAAGCAGAGCCAGCCTTGGGCAAGCTGGACAGTCAGAGAAAAGGAAGGGTAAAACGCCTTTGTGTACCCTGTACCTGGGAATTGGACAGTCAGAGAAAAGGAAGGGTAAAACACCTTTGTGTACCCTCTACCTGGGAATCCTTGGAAAGGCTTGCCATAAGTCAGAATTAACATGACAGCACCATATTTATTATACCCGATGAAACAGGCTAAGGAAGCCTTAAATGGAACTCAGAAACGAAAAGCCAATAATGTTAGTTACAGAGCTTTGAATTGGGGGAGCTGAAAGGACGGCATGTAAGTTAAATAAATTATTTATTTATTTATTAACAGTATGTATGTATGTATGTATGTATGTATGTATGTATGTATGTATGTATTTATTTATTTATTTATTTATTTATTTATTTATTTATTTATTTATTTATACCCCGCCCACCTGGCCTATTTATCTTAAGAACTGTTGTTCGTCTTTTACTTTGTCCTCCCCAACTCTAGAATGGCTTTTTTTTTTAGATGGCAAGTTTGAAAGTATGTTTGTGTCGCTTTCCTGGCATAATATAAAGTTAAGAACCCAGCAGCAAGGCGAGGGACGTGCGCTGTAGTTGACAGGGACGTGATCATCTATTTAAAGGTGCTGGGAAAAGAGGGTCGCCAAAAATTAAAACAAACAACCTATGGAAAATCAGTTTGTACTCGATGCGCAAAAAAAAAAGGGACAAAGACTCGGAAGTTGAGCCGCGCTCGACCCTTTAATTTAGTAAATCTATGCTCAGGAGCCGTCATAGGCGGAAGTCGAAGAGCGAAGGGTTGTTTTCTTCCTTTTTTTTCAAGAGGTCGGCGTCGGCGGCGTGGAGCTCTGCGCATGCGCGCGGGCATGCGTCGGCGTTCGTTATTCGTTCGTTGGCCGGCGGGGCCAGCGCTTGACCTCGTTCGCTCCGAGCATGCGCAGTGCTCGTCTTTTTTTTTTTTCAAGAGGTCGGCGTCGGCGGCGTGGAGCTCTGCGCATGCGCGCGGGCATGCGTCGGCGTTCGTTATTCGTTCGTTGGCCGGCGGGGCCAGGGCTTGACCTCGTTCGCTCCGAGCATGCGCGGTGCGCGTCTCCTTTTTTTTTTCTCGCTCCGTGTGAGAGGAAGTCGTTGAGGCGCTTCGGGTCCGGGACCGAGTCCGAGTCGTGAGGGAGGGTCTTTGGAGGCTTGGCCGGCGCCCTCCGCCTTCCTTTCCGCGCCCGACGCTCTCGGAGGCCCTTTCCCCCTCGATGGCCGACGGAGGGAAAGGGGGATACAGCGGTGAGCGGGGCCGAGGGAGCCGGGAAGGGCGGCTGGTCGGTCGGGGCCCCGAAGGGGAGACTCCTGTGAGGGGAAAAGCGAGGCCTTCGGAGGCGGGAGGCCGGGAGACGGAGGAGGGAGACCCGTTAGTTCCAGATATTGTTCATTGGAAACAAATCGAGGGGTCGAAGGGCCGTTCGCGGGCTTGAGGAGGGGACGGGGGTCTCCTTGGAGGAGGCTGCGTGTGTGTGAATCTCCTATGAAGGATGCGAGGGTTGTTGTTTTTTTTTAATCAACTTTTTTAAAAAAATTAAATCAAAAATTTTTAAGGATAAGTTGACCACGAACCTCGTAAAGCTGATTTAAGGCATTTAAATCCAATCCAATTCGACTTTAAAAAAATAAATAAATAATAAGCATTATGAATTAAAGGGTGACGCCGAGACGTTTCAGTTGTGGTTTTTTTTTAAATCAAGTGGATTTTAAGAGATCGAAATCTAAACCACAACTTCGATCACATTGCTTTTTAAAGATAAAAATAGAGTTGGTTTGAATGGTTTAACGAAGTTGACCACGAACCCTCATTAAGGGTTGTATGAAATGCGATTCAATTGTATAAAATGCGATTTTCAAAAAGGCAGCGTGGATTGACTTGTGATTAAACTGTGATGCTGAGAGATATTTAAATTGTGATTGAGATCTGATTTCATTTAAATCTGCTTATGAGTTTTAATTATGTAACCTACGCAATCCTGATTCAGCCTTATAGTTCACGATTTAAATCAAGCTGGTTTTTTAAAAATCACACGTAAATCAAAAGTAAATTTAATTTGAAAATGCTTTTTGATTATTTCAGTCTAGAAAAAGCAGTTTTTAAAATTTAAATCATAATTTAAATCAACTTGGAGTCTAGAAAAAGCAGTTTTTAAAATTTAATCATGATTTAAATCAACGATTTAAAAAAAATCATTGATTTTTTAAATCCACTCTGGAATGATGGCTATTGTGCATTTTTTGGTAGGGAATAGGGTGCCGTTTTTAAAAAAAATCATTGATTTTTTTAAATCCACTCTGGAATGATGGATATTGTGCATTTTTTGTAGGGAATAGGGTGTCATCAAAGCTATACAGGCATCACTGGGAAGGGTGTCTGTCTGTCTGTCTCTGAATGTATAGTAAAACAAAGGGAGGAAAGAACAGTGTGTCAAGGAAGGGAAACAACGGCAGATGCTCTTTACCGAAAGCATGATCCAGGACTATCAAGCATGGGAAGGGAGACCATAGGGAATGTGGCAGGGGGTGGAGATTGTATCAAATTGGCTGTTGGGGGTAAAGAAAGTGAAAATATGTTCTTGCTTGGGAAGATCTCAGGGTTATGCACAAAGAGCATGTTTTAGGAAGAAGGCACAGATTAAAGTGTTGTTGTAGAAGTCAGTCACTCATTTCTATGTGTTGTATCTGAGGAAGTGGGTTGTACCATGGAGACCCAAGGTAGTGTCCGTGGTTCAGTCTACCCATTTACATCTTTGTTGGATTGCCCAGCTGCATCCCTATCCAGACGCGGGGGCGCTTACCATGCTGGTCCATGCGCTGGTAGTCTGAAGATTAGACTACTGTAATGCTCTCTACATGGGGCTTCCTTTGAGGCTGTTGCAGAAGCTCTAGACCAGTGATGGCGGAACTTTTTGAGCCCGAGTGCCCAAACTACAACACAAAACCAACTTATTTATTTCAAAGTGCCAACACTGCAATAAAACCTGAATACTGAGGCACTACCACAATCTCTGAGGCAAAAAGGATGAAACTGAGGTTGTCCTGCTTGGGCACATCTTGAAAAGACAGGATTCTCTGGAAAAGACATTAATGCTGGGAAAGGTGGAAAGCAACAGGGAAAGAGAAAAATCAAACATGGGATGTGGACGCACTCCCTAAGGAAAGTCACAGGCTTGAGTTTATAAGAGCTGAGCACAGCTCATTTTGGATGACCAGTTTATTTGCAGAGACTAGGTTAGCCACTCACTAGTCTGGTGGCTCGTGTGTCCACAGAGAGGGCTCTGCGTGCCAGCTGTGGCACATGTGCCATAGGTTCACCTTCCCTGCTCTAGATGGTCCAGAACACGGCGGCCAGTCTAATAACGGGGTGAAAAGATTTCACCATATTTCCCCCACCTTGGCTGCCTTACACTGGCTACCTATCCGCTTCCTCATTGATTTCAAGGTGCTAACCATTACATACAAAGCCCTTAACAGTTTAGGCCCTCGATACCTAACAGAGTGCCTTCTTCTGCCCAGTTCTACCCGTATCACCCGTTACAGTCCGGCTGAGGGGCCTAACGCCAAGAGAGGTCTGGTGGGAAGAAACTAAAAACCAGGCCTTCTTGGCAGTGGCCCCTCGCCTTTGGAACAACCTACCTGTAGAGATCCGCCTGGCTCCCTCGCTGAGGGTTTTCAAGACTAACCTGAAGACATGATTATACAGGCATGCCTTCCTTACAACTATTATCTAGCCTATCTCCCTTTTTCTTTTCTCTCTCTTTTTCTTCTTCTCTTCCTTTCCCCATCTTGGACTCTGTGATTAACTTGAATTTCACCTTAGTTTATTTTTATGTTATATGTAAACCACCCAGAGTAGACGCATTCTAGATGGGCACTATATAAATTTAATAAATAAATAAATAAATCGCAACAGCTATTAGTGAAGGAGGTCTGCTAGTTTTCAAGGTGCCATAGCAGTCTTGTTTTTATTTTTTATTTATTTTATTTTTTTGTATACCTGGTTTCTTTTGGAGGCCTAATAATGTCTAAAGAGTCTCTCTGAATCAGTTCTAAGGCCAGTGTTTTGCTCAGACAGGGGCCAGACTAATGCTCCCAAAAGCCCATAGAAGGACTTACTTATCCCTCATGTCATTCAACCATTGATATACTGAGACATGCAGCCACTATTATTAGGATTGCCAGACATGGTTATTTCTCTGATTGCTTTGGCTGGGTGTGAAGGAGAGATAAAAGAAAGTGAGCAGTCCTTAGTGATAGAAGCCATAATGGAGGAGGAAAAGAGTTGTGATTTGAATATGCCCAAGGAGAAGAGCGGTATATTAGAAGAGATGGAGAAGAGAGAAAGAGGAAGGTTGAAATATGCTTGGTGGAGGAGGGAGAGAAAGGAAAAGGGGAGGAGCAAAAGATGTCAGTCTGGGAGGAAAGTATAAATGTCCAGGGAGAGCAATGGTTTGGGAGTAAGCTACAGGGAGAGATGATGAGAAGGAAGGAAGGAAGTATTCAAGAAAGTGGTTACGACAAGACACGCAATCTGCTACAAGATTTTCCAAACTTAAGAGTTGGTGGACTATTGCTGGACCCAGAGCCTAAGAGAAAGAGATGGTAGTGGAAACCCAGGGGTGGACCGTTATCGTATTCCCGCATGAGCAAGGCAAAGGAAAGAGGGTGATTTCTCCGGACCCTACCTACAATCAGCCACCAAAAGAAGGGGATTGGGCGAGATATCCATGTAGCGGGACAGTCTTTGGGGTGAGGAGCGCACCCCTTTGGAAGCCCACCAGCAAGGAACGTTTTGGTCCAGCACCCCAAATAAGCTATTCGGACTTTAGACAAGAATTTACATCTCCCAGTTACAGTCCATTGCCAGAGTTGTTTCGGCCCTGTTGGAATAGTTGTTGAGAATCCTGTAGCAAATAAAAACCAAATCATGAGTTCAGTTAATACACCTCTGTCTTTATTTCCTGCCAAAAATGAGGAACTGCCAAGGGATTCAAACAAACCCAATCACACTGGGTTGGTTTGTATTGTCCAGTCTAAATCAGCAGCTTAGTACAGCTTTACCTTACTTTAGATTATGTTTAAAGTTTATGTTTAAAATTTGCTTCTTGACAATTCACTGATTCTGTTTATTATCCTTGTTGCAGAGCATGATGATCGTGTGGGCGGTGGCAACAGGGGTTTCATTGGTCGAAGGAGAAAAGGCCGGGGGCCCTTTCGAGGAAAAATGTACAGTGAGGCGAACCATCAGCAATGGGCTTGGAGCTACGCTGGGCCCAGTCCTCGCGGCCGGCAGGAGGAGGAAGATGGGGATGTTCTCATGAGTGATGCTCACGATGTGATACGGTCACGCTAGTAAGTTTGAGGGAACATATACCTGCATTCAACATGTCCAATGTAAACCTAAATTGGCCAGCTCTTGATGCCAACACTCAGTGTCTGTGTAAAAGTAAAGTTTTGTAAGTTAAAAGATTCCCTTTTCTATACACACATGGCAGCCTGATGTATTTAGTATGTCTTGGAATCCTACACTAGCTACTAGTAATGCTTGAAGAATTTGGGCATTCCCATTGTGGAACCCTCTGTCTTGATCCCCGTCCGTGGAGCTTCATTTTAATAATTTTGGTCTTCTAGGAAGAGAGACAACTGATGAGCTTCATTTTAATAATTTTGGTCTTCTATGAAGGGAAACTGATCTTCTAGATGTTTTTCACTTATGGCACCCATAAACTTTCCCTTGGCTCCTGGCTAGGGCGCCCGGGAGCAATAAACAAGAAATACCTGAAGAGCCAAAGGTTCCTATTTCATAGCTTGTTCCACCTCCATACTCGCAGTCGATGGATGTGGGAGCAGAACAGTGAAGAAAGCAGGGGAAATATCTGAAGTGTGTGATGCTAGAAGAGAGCTTTTCAAATGCCGTGGGCCACTAGAAGTACAGATAAATACGTTCTAGAAGAAATCAAGGCTGGACTTCCACAAGAAACTACTGTATAATGACTAAACAGAAGCTGTTGTACTTTGAACATGTCATGAGAAAACGAGGTTCCCTAGAAGAGACAGCAAAACTGAGAAAAACTGAAGGCAGCAGAAAAAGAGGAAGTCCAGAATTGAGATGGTTTGACTCAGTGAAGGATCTACAGCCTTTAGTTCTCATGACTGGAGTCATGCTTGTTAATAGCCTTTTTGGAGGCTATTTGTAAGAGTTGTCACAAGTTGCAAATGTCTTGGCAGCATCTGCTTGGAGTAACTAGGGGGAAAAAAGGCTGCTGAACAGGTTGACACGAGACCAGGAATACCGTGGAGGGGTGGACCATGAACAATGACTTCCTCTCAGTCACAGAGACACAGCACTTGGGCCTGCCATCTTATCTCTGTACCATCTAGGAGAGATAGTGCGTCACAATGTCCTGTTCTGCTTGTGATTTTTTTCCAGTTTCAGTCCTGATATTCAACCGAAATCTGGCTTCCTTTAACTTGAGCCCTTTGTTGTATGTCCTGCACTCTGCGATGTAGTGTATGAGTGTATGTGTGTATGAGTGTGTAAAAAAATCCGTGCATAAAAATGATGGATTGGATTAAGTGCATCGCATGCAGAATTGACATAGTAAACCTAGTAGGAACGGTGAGCAAAGAGGAAGCAATCTGTTTTCTTCTTGAAGACAAGAGGATGTATGTTAAGGTAGGGGGAAGTTTTGAGATCTTTGAAAAGTAAACCTCTTGAGTTTTAGTAAAACCTGCAACCGATTCTTTTTAAAAAGGTATTGTGAATATTATTAGACAAATGGACCAGTTTGTCCTTCTCTTAGAGGCCAGAGGTGAATATGGTTCAAGAGTTTATTTTTACAACTCGTGATATCTTAGAACTGTAGAAGCCAACTAGTCCAGCTATTCTCAGTGGGGGTCATACGGCCCCTGGAGGGGGCTGGCACATTTTAAGGGGGGCACAAACTGGAAACAGTTCTTCACACACTAATAAGTTTTTCATTATGCGACTTACACATTTCCTGATTCAGCCTCAATTTCATACTGTGTTTGTGGCCGTGGCCCTCTGTCTCATCTAGCCACCTGTCAGTGCAAAAATCCACAGCCAAAACATGAAGGACATCTGATGTTTGATTTATTCTGGTTTATGATGTGAGAAACTTGTAGCTTATACTGTGGCTAAAAAGTCCTCCCACACACTAGAAAGCAGAAAGCTTAGATGGTGGGGCTCTAATAAGAAAGTGAGGAATATATTCCTGCTGAACCTGATCCAGTTTCTCTGCTTTGGGTAGAGATTGTGTATTTATATCTTGTACCTGTGAAGACAGAAAACAGAATCGAATTCATTTGCTGGTGTGGTCTTCCACACCATGATGATTTCATGAAGTTGAAAAACTGGAATGACTGGAGAACTAATATACTTGTGATTTAGTACAGTGGGCCCCATCCTTTTCTGAACCGCAGACGGGCAAGGCAGGGCACCCCCCTGCGCTCGCGGGTGGGCAGGGCCCGCTCACACACATGTGCTGATGGGTGTGACACACTTGCCGGTGAGCAGGGATGTTTGGGTGGACGGGGCCACTCATGGGTGTGCATGGTGCGCTCATGCATATGTGGGGTGAGTGAGACACGCACGCACTATGATTGTGGCGCACTCACATGTGTGCACATGTGAGTGGGCCGTGCGTGCATGTTGGCGTGTGTGGGGAGAATGCGGGCGGTGGGGTGGGAGATCTGTCTTCGCGGCCCGGTGCTGCAAAGGCCACAGATCAGGCCATGCACTGGGGGTTGGGGCCCCCTAATTTAGAAGAACACTGCTGACCCAGTTTATTAAAGAAACTTTATTTCATTGTATAATTACCATTGTCTAATTATAACTGTGTTACGTCTATAGCAATTTCGGGTGTGGTTCAAAATGCTGCTTTGTTCGCACAACAACCTCATGCAAAGTTGAATGATTTCAGCATTAGCCTGTGACTTACCTGCTAAAGTGAGCAGAGTTTTGATCACAGGTTTCCCTTGTCCTAGTTTAATATTGTGATCCTAATGAAATCTATTTTTCTCTTCGTTAGCACTCCATACGGGGGGCGTCCAAACCGACCAGGCGATCGGGAGCGGCCAAGTCTGAGCAGTCTAAACCCTACCGTGAAACGGAGTCTGAATACTGCAGACCGACCAGCCCCCAGGAGCCCCGTCGCCAAAAAAGCCTGGTTCAGGGTTACGGTGAGTCAAATAGGAGGAAGAATATGGAAGCGAAAGCTACACAATCAGTTCCTAAGCGATTTTTGTAGCCTGATGTCCTACTTTACTCCTAGTAATTGTCATCTGATATTCATCAAATTCTTTCGATCTTTGTAAGAACTAGTTCTGAGCTTGTTTTTTTCTCCTTCCTTTGTTCCTAGTGCCTTTTCCTCTTGGATCATGTCATTTAGATTGAAAGTCTAAAAGCAGGGACATCTTTTTTATCTATCTGTTCTTGGTCGATGAAGAAAATAAAAAAACCTTTCCAATAAATACATGCCTTAAGCAAAGCAAGCAGAAGTCTGAGAAGGAGGCAGTGAAGGAGATTCTTCAGTGTTTGAGATTTGATCTTTGCAGCATAGAGGAAAGATTCCTTTCTTTTCATTTAAAAAATAACCTCCCCAGCTCCTAAACTGCTGTTGGATTTGGGTTTAGAAGTTGTCCTTTAAAGCATTACTGTGAATTTGTTTTAGATATTTTGTCCTTATTTGGCATGGGTGCCTTTCTCCCCCTCAGATCCCTTATGGAAGGAAATATGAAAAATCGTGGCTGATTAGCGCCATTCAGAACTTGTGCACTGTCCCCTTCAATCCTGTAGAGGTAAGACACGGATAAGCATGTTTCTTTGCTGCTTCATTACTACATTAATTCCCAAATTGGGTGCCAGAGGAGTTGCTGACTTGTGCCTTGAAACCATCATGCCAATGCCTCCAGTACTCCATGCCAGCCTTCTCCAACGCGACATTCCCTCCAGATGTGTAGACATAATTCATTTTTGTCCTCCCCCTCGGGGTGGGGAAGACATTGCCCATGATAATTGGAAGGTTGGAGAAGGCTGCTGTGTGCCAGTCTGGACGCTTCCTACCGCATTGATGAGACAGTCAGTGCATTAGCCCAGACGCAGTGATGGCGAACCTATGGCACGCGAAGCCCTTTCTCCTGGCACGCGAGTGAGTGGTCCACCCACCTGCCTTGTGGAAAGAAACTTTTTGAAGTGGTTGCAACCAGGATTACCCCTTTCTCTTCCTGTTCTGGGTCCGTCGCCATGTTTTCCCCCCTTCCTCTTCCAGTCCATTGCCATGTTTTCCCCCTTCCACTTCCTGTTCTGGGTCTGTCGCCATGTTTCCCCCCTCTTTCACTTCCTGTTCTGGGTCCGTTGCCATGAATTCCCCCTGAAACTGCCACTTCCGTTTCTGGTGCTGGTCTTCCGGGCGGCACGGCAGCCACTAGTTTCTCCCCACCTCTCCATTTTGGACACTCGAGCTGAAAAAAGTTTGCCACAACTGGCCCAGAGTATTCACTAGTGGTCCTTCAGAAACACTGAGGTTGTGCTGAGCTGGAGGAAGTGGGGTTTCTCCACAACAGCTTGCAATTCTGATGATTTTATAGTGGTCCAGTAAAAGGTATCACCACTTGTACATTAGTGGTCCTCCAGTGTTGGGCAGGAGGAAGAGACTCCTTAACTTTGCCACGTACCCTTGAATAATGTGGTTAGAAGGCTGTGGAGGTGGGTGTGGTTCAACTAAAATGGGGAGGAGAGTGGAATTTGTGTATTTCATTCAAATTACTCTTCCTGCCTAGCCCACCGTTGAAACACTGGATGCTAGGATGCCCTTAAATGCTGTCTCGTTGAGTCACGCAGGAGAAACCCAAAACCATCGTTTGTGCCCAGAATGCATGTTTATATCGTTTGGTCCTGTCTCTTGCGACATGTTCCCCAGAGTTATTAATTGTGCTATCCTGAAATGGAAAGGAGATGAACTTTCCTGCTTCTCAGATGGGAGCAAGGGTATGCATACTTCATGTTAAGGATCAGAATGAAGTGTGGATTGTAATCCAGACATGAAGAGATGCATCTCAGGTACCCAAGGTTTTGGGGACAGGAGTGTAGAAATGGGAACCAAACATAAAGACTGAAGGGGTTAAAGGAGGACGGTGGGTGGGGAGCCAGAAAGTCCGAGAGTGGAGAAATGGAAGCCGACTAGCTGCTGACCTCTGGCAGTTACTCTTGTTCCTGCTGTGGCTTCAGAGCCTTTGCAAGGGACCCTCCGTACTTCCATCCAGTTTCCTGTGGAGATCAGCTCCTTGGTCAAAGGCACTGAACACGGCTGTCTCACACCCACTTGGGCTTTGTCCCCCTCCCCCAGGTTCATCACGTCAATAACCGGGCCGTGTTCTACGTGGACGATGCGTCTGCAGCCAATGCCCTAAAGCAGGTGTCCCGGAAGGTTGTCTCGCCCGATGGCTACAAGGTTGGTTCCGTGTTGTCCTGATGGCAGGATGTGTGTGTAGATCATTGGCAGGATGTGTGTGTAGATCATTCAGACACTGTGGAGGCTAGTTCTGGAATGACGGGGGCCTTAGTTTCAGATCCTACCCTCTCATTTGTCCTGCATGCACACTGTTGGCTGGCTTCTTTTTTATTCTTCCTCACCGTCCCTCATGCTGATCTTTGTTTCAGGTGGCGGTACTCATTAACCAATGCAGTTCACCCATGACAGTCCAGCGTGAATTAAAACCAGAGGAAATTGAACAGCTGAAGGTGAGTGGAGTGGGCAGGATTGTCCGCTATGGCTTCTTGCTGTCTGCTTGATCACCTATCTCATGTTCTTGGATGTAGCATGTCTGGTGTTTTCAGGATTAATACATACATGCTGTGCAGTAGGGGTCCCCAGCGTCCAGTTCACAGACTGGTTCCAGTCTTTGGCCTTGCCAGGACTGAGCCCTTTTTTATTCTTCCTCACCGTCCCTCATGCTGATCTTTGTTTCAGGTGGCGGTACTCATTAACCAATGCAGTTCACCCATGACAGTCCAGCGTGAATTAAAACCAGAGGAAATTGAACAGCTGAAGGTGAGTGGAGTGGGCAGGATTGTCCGCTATGGCTTCTTGCTGTCTGCTTGATCACCTACCACATGTTCTTGGATGTAGCATGTCTGGTGCTTTCAGGGTTAATACATACATGCTGTGCGGTAGGGGTCCCCAGCCTCCAGTTCACAGACTGGTCCCAGTCTGTGGCCTTGCCAGGACCGAGCTGCGAAGACAAATCTCCTCTCCCCCCGCACCTGCAAACGCACGCATGGCCCCTTCCCCCCCTAAACCAGTCCGTAGAGGCCAAAAGGTTGGGGACCACAGCTGTGGGGTATGTTCATGTTACCGCTGTGTGTAAGTAAGTAGCTGTTCTCTTAATCACAAGTGGCGTATTTTCCCTTAGTCACATTTTTAGCCCCACTTGCTGTTACCACCTGTTTTTGTGACATGACAGACATTTAAATACACATCCCAGACCACAGCGGTGAAAGGAGGAGAGCCAGCTTTGCATCTTTGTGCTCCTGAAACAACTAACACAATGCAAATGAAATGAATAGTAATTTGACGATGATGGTAATAGCAGTACGCACGGTAGGAAGGTCTGGGGCCCCAAAGCCAATGAGGAATAGAAGAGACTGTTTGGCACTGTATAACCAAAATCTAGGGAATCATCACTCTTCTTAGCGCTGATATATTTGAAGTTCAGAGTTTTTGGTGTGGGAGGTGAGGGAAGACCCAGCCTCTCATTTCGTGACGAGGAAGAAAGGTAATTCAAGGTTTTGTTTGATTTCTCGCCTGCCTGATGGAAGTCCTATTTTGGGCTTTTAGGTTTGCATGAGTAAAAGATATGATGGTTCCCATCAAGCTTTGGACCTGAAGAATATTCACGAAGATCCAGGTAGGTCATGTTAGGTAAACCCCTTTCTTCATTGCCAGGTAGTTGCTGTTCAGGGCATCAGAAAATAAATGAAGGTTGGCTTCAGCCTTCATTTAAAACTGGGGTAAGCATCTTGGAGCCGTCCTGCGTGCATTTTTTGCAGCCTTCGAAGCTGTCAGCACTGAATTTCAGCTGCATAATATTAAAACAAACCACTTATTTGGCTAAAATAAGGTATGTAGGGAACATCTACCATATAAAATCCTCTTTATAGTGTGATTCTACTTTGAAACAAGGCAACTGTCCCTAGACCACTACTGTGGATACACTTGATCTCACCTGATTTTGGAAATGGCATCACAGTTTCGTTGGTATTTGGAAGGGAGACCACCAAGAAATTCCAGAGCTTCCCACGCAGGGCTAAGAAAGAATCATGTCCGAAACTCAGCAGAACTTGTACCAGTCGGACTTAGGGTTAGATAGAGTCATAGCCCAACTTGCTTGAAGGCAGCTTCCTGCGTTACCCCATGGAAGGTTGCAGAAGAGCAGAACTGGCATTGGGACCTGCCAGTGTTGCCCACTCTGATTTAAAATAAATCGGAATATGCAGCAAGAGTGAGCAAAAAGCCCTTTTTATCTCCAGAAACTGGACTTATATCAAATGCTGGAAATCCTGATCCCAACACTGTGTTGAGGAGAGAACACTTGGATAGCCCTGGGCTTTTGGAGAATTCTGCGGGGAGGAACACGATTAATTGTATGCCCCTTGTTTCTACTGCACAGATCTAGTGGCACAAAACATTGACATGGTGTTGAACCGCCGAACCTGCATGGTAGCTGTGCTGCAGATCATCCAGGATAACATCCCCGAGGTCAGCTGCTTCTTTTCTCCCTTCCCTTCCTTCTTGTTGGCTTGGCTTTTCGGACTATTGCTTCTTGGAACGTTGTGACAGATTAAAACACTTCTATTGATTGAAAATGGATCCTGTTCAGAAATTGTTCTGCAGTAATAAGCAACGATGAAGGCCAGAGAGATGGATTTTCTAAAATGAGTGATTTTGCTCTTTGTGGGAAGAGAATTCTGAACTAGGCAGCCTTTGGTCTGGTCCAGTAGGTTTCTTTCTGTGTTCTGTGCCTGAGATGAATACAGTGGTGCCTCGCAGCATTAAACGTAGTTCCAATCGGCACGGAACTAGGCAGCCTTTGGTCTGGTCCAGTAGGTTTCTTTCTGTGTTCTGTGCCTGAGATGAATATTCCACTTTCTTTGCACTTTTTTTGCAGAGTTTCCTGTGCATATGTTGACTAGAAATGTAATAGTTACCAGTACTCCTTCTGGGATAAATAGTTCAAGTTTCTGGGGCAAATGGTTACATATTAGGAAATCAGTTCATAGGCATTTGCTGTTGGGCGCCAGTCCCTGGACTTGGCCAATTCTGGTGCTAAATTCTTCACTTGCGGCAATTTGCACCTAAAAGTTACACTGACAGATTTAATGCAGGATTCTGCCGTTGTGCATGCAAATCAGTAGATAAATTCCATGCTCAGGAATAATCTGGAACTATCTTGACCCTCTTAATGAGGGTTATAGGAAAGGGCTGGTGAAGCCTCCATTTACTTTCTGAAGCAACACTTCTAGAGTGCTTTATGGAGCAAAATCAACATGACTGGAATAAAATCGCATATGTTCAGATTATTAAAAATCAGTTTCTCCAAACAACTTTGTATCTGCTTTATCTGCTTTTGAATTTGTCCTGCGGCTGTTATTGGAGCTGACTTAGAGGAATTCTCATTTTTCCCATCTGGCTCAAAAATAGTATTTATGCAGAGTTTATGTGTTGTAATAGGTTGTTGTTGTTGTTGTTGTTGTTGTTGTTAGTCATCATCTTCAGAGTTTGGAACAGCAAAATTAATTTGGCCACTTTGTTTTGGTCTCTTAGATTTTGGGCTCTTCTTGTCGTTTTCCCTTGCTCTGCTATCCATATCTACATTGGCAGCAACACTCACACACGCTCCATGTTTTCTTCATTTTTACAGCTCCTGTCTCTGAACTTAAGTGACAACAAGCTCTATCGGCTGGACGATATGGCTGAGCTGCCCCAGAAGGCACCTCATCTGAAGATCCTCAATTTATCTTCTAACTATGTAAGCCTCGTTGCTCCCTCATCCCGCCTGACTCTCACCCAGGAATCTGGAGTTATCTTAAACAAAAAAACAAACAAACCAAAAACCCTGATTTTCTGCTTTATTCATAAAATAAAGCTTCACAGCCTGACTCGATGTTCTCTGCGTATCTGTCTTGTTGACCCCCTATTCCATCCACACCCTGCAGTTGAAGACCGACCGTGAGCTGGACAAGTTAAAAGGCTTGAAACTCGAAGAACTGTGGCTGGATGGTAATACGCTGTGTAATAACTTCCGGGACCAGTCCACGTACATCAGGTGAGCAGTGGCCGAGGATGGCCTGAGCTGTCCGGAAGGCCATGCCCCATCCTCATTTGCCTTTGGCCTCCGTCTTGCCCGAGGGCCCACGGGGCATATATTGAAGATTTACCAGTTCCTCTTCGCAAGAGGAGCCTCTCATTTTGTGCTTGCCAGCCGGATGATTTACTTCCTGCAGAGCTGTCTTGTATCAGCCCCAGCACCATCTGCATTCCTGGATCCTGATTTGTAATGCCTTTCACAATGGTTTTATTTCAGCTAGACTGGACCAGTGCCCTAACCCTTCCCCTCAAATTAACGTGATTATTTCTAAATATTATGATGTGTTCGATTTATTCTCTGCCCTTCTGCCTAAGAGCTCTGGGCAACCAAAAGTTATTAGCTAAAAGCTGCATTTTTAAATTATCTCCCACAACCGACCTTCCCCCGGCCGTTCCTGTCCTCTTGTCGAGCCTTGCTGTTTTTCCGTCCTCCTTCCCTTCCCTGTCGTCCTCCCACCGTTCCCTCTGCACAAGCCCACTTGCCTTTCTGTGCCTTTGGGTTCCATGATTTTAGGGGGCACAGTCTTGCCCATCCTCTCCGATCCCTCTTACACGCCACCCTCGCCCACTTCAGCCTGCCATGCTGTTTCCGCCTTGTTGTCGTTTTTGGCTTTCCCATTTTTGATGCCGAGAGCCCCACCGCCAAGAAGTCCCCGGTCTATGCAAGGGTGACAGAAGCCTTCGTTTTGAAATTGAACCCGAGCTGCCAAATCCTGGGGTGTCTCTTGATGCCTTTGGCCCTCACCAATGGCTGGTTAGCCAATGACGGGTAAGATTCCTTGCGGAAGGGACAACCTAAGACAGGCACAGTCACACAGGGGCCAAATGAGCACTGCCTCCAGGGAAGACGGCAGACAAGGCGCAGGAACCTCGTCCAGAGGCTTGTTTCTCAACAAGTGACTCTCGGGCAGCCTCGGTGCTGTTCCCAGAGAGGAGAGGTTCACTTCTCAAGGAGGAGGGGGCAAGGCTGGAAGCAACCGCAGAACTGCAGCGAGCCGGCGTGTTGTAAGCAGAGCCCTCTTTCTGCCCACCTCCGTACCTGACATCTTGCTGGCATGAGCAAGGCGCGTGCCCGCCTCTGCAGGGTGGGTGTAAGAGGGGCAACCCCGAGGATGGTTGAGACTGTGCCTCAGAAAAGGAGGGTGTTTCTAGGCCTTTCCTGTGCCTCTCCCTTCAGCCCCCCCCGGCACGCCCTGCTTCTCACCCCCCCACTTGTCTTCCACCCTCATTAATTAGATTTGGGCTTTGATGCAGGAACCCTGGCAAATTTGTGTGTTTTAAGTTGGGTTCCAGGAAATTGGCTCTTGTCATCTCCATGACCAGTGGGAATTCTTGTCCAAAGCCCCTTCCTTCCCCTTCCTTGCCCCCACTCTCTGGCCTCTGTGGAGCGCTTCTTCCATAAATGAGCCGCGCTGGGTGAGTACAAGACCAGGTAAGTGAGAGGGGAATACTTTGGCATCTCACCGCCCTGCGCATGTGTTAAACCTACTCCGAAGGGACGACAGGGATTGCAGCATTTTTTTCTGCTTAATACCTTAGTACCTTGAGCTAGTTCCAAGCTATAGTCAGCTGCGTGCTCAGTGTCAAGGCTGACTGCTACTGCGGCCCTTGTGCTGTGCCAGAGGATCAGAGCCGTATTTAATGGAACGGATGGCCATCTCTGATGTCCAGAACTCTGTGGCAAACTTAAAGAAATCTGACTTTAAGTCAGGGACCGAAGTCAGGTTCCGGTGCGCAGAGGAAAGAAGGGCGGCTAGCTTCAGGCTGGCCTTTGCTACGGATTGTTAAAGTGATCTGCTTACCAGCGATACAATTCCCTTAACTTGGTTTGTGTTGCTTCCGTAGTTCATGCTCAGAGGGACCAAGCTGAATATGCTGCTGTATTAAAAGCAAAGCAAAGCTCGCTGCTCATTTACTGCCCCATAGCGCTTAACGCATTCTCTGGGCGGTTTACAATTTTTAATCACGCAGGCTACACGTTGCACCCTTTTCCCCATGAGCTGAATATTCAATTTGGTGATCCTGGGAGAATGAAAAGCTGAGTTAGCCTCAAGCTTAGCGGCCTGAGCCCTTCAGGATTGCACTCGGGTCCTGAGCAGAGTGTAAGCTGCAGTACAGCAGTTTAACCACTGCACCACAAGGCCCATAAAACCATCCCTAATTTTGCACACACTGTTACCTTGTGGATCTTGATCAAAACACTTGTGTGTGTGTGTAAATTTCTTGGGCTTCCAAAGAAGCATAGAATTTGATTGCCTTTGTGTGAGGCTTTCATTTCAAGATCTTGGTAAATAATGCAACCGTTGTCTTAGCTCTGTGTGGTATTTCTCCACTCTAAATGTACATTGAAAAAGTTCCTTATTTTAGCAGAACCCTCATCTTTCTAAGGTTAGAGGTGTGGTGAGGTTTGTGCATTAATTTTTAAACATCCACAATAATAAATGTGGATTCCCCACCTCTTCCCAGCAGTTGAAGGTGCGTTTTATTGAAATGTTTCACACTTTAAGGTTAGGGAAAAGGCCACTGTTTTAAAGGAAGATGACGTGGCCAACAGTGACCGAAACTATGCTGGATGTAGCCAGAGATGGGCCTATCTGAGGCAGGATTGGGATGATGGTGAAAGACAGGGCTGCCACGAATAGGGGTGGGCGGTGCCCCAGGACACGAAACTCTTTCACTCACTCCTCTTCCCTTTCTGACAGCGCCATCCGAGAACGGTTTCCGAAGCTGCTGAGGCTGGTGAGTAGAATCGCACAAATTCAGGGGAGGCCAGGGTCCTGGGCTCCTGCCTGTTTGTTTGCTGGTCCAGCTATATTATCCTTGTGTGTCTCTTTTTTTCTGCAGGATGGTCACGAGCTGCCCCCTCCCATCTCTTTTGACGTTGAAGCACCAACCACCCTGCCTCCCACCAAGGTACAGAAACGTTGGGAAGATCTGGGGGAGGAGAAGAACAGGGGTCCAGGCGTTGCCGTTGCATGCCAGAGCCTTCCAAGTTTAAAATATGTCTCACTGCATGGCACAGATTCTGGCATTGTAAAGCCGAAAGTGTGTGCTGAAATCCTTTCCAGCACAGCTTGGTCAATACTTGGGAGTCTCTGAAAGGAGGAAACAGTTAACAGGCGACTTCTCTTTTTAATTCTCTTTTAACCCTCTCCTCTCAGGGAAGTTACTTCTGCTCTGAAGGCTTGAAAGGGCTGATAGTACAGTTTCTGCAACAGTAAGTATCAGATTATTGTTGTTTATGAAGCTAGTTCCTGTATGTATCCAGCAGTTCCTGGGTGACGTCCCGGGACACTGAATTCTCTTGGAAGTTAAGCCTATTAATTTACTTCTTTGTGACCCACTTTTCTTGTAGCGAGCCGTGAGCCAAAGGCTCATTTGCTACCTTTATAAGTTAGATGAAGGTCACTCAGTTAAAATTAAAATTAAAAAAGCTCTGCCTAGAGGACTAAGCACCCGTAGGTACAGGAGCTGGAAGGAAAAAGAGGCTGCTTGGATTTTATTCAAAGAGTTGTGTGCCTTCCTTGTAGATATTACTCGATCTATGACTCCGGAGACCGGCAAGGCCTCTTGAATGCCTACCATGACGGAGCCTGTTGTTCGCTGAGCATCCCTATCTCAGCGAACAATCCTTCCAGGTAGGTGGATACTTCTAGGTTTACTGCCGTTTCCTTGGGAGGGAAGCACCCTATCTTAGCCAGATGAACTCTGGATCCTCAGAAGACCTGAGAAGGAATGGTCCTGAAAGTGCTTTGCTTTAGAGCGAGCCCGTGGATTTCTGCATTAAAAACCTAGTATTTCATCCACGGCCGCAAGGCATAGATCCTTCATGCCAGGCAGACAAAAAGCCTGAGAAAGGGGTTGGATGTTGGATCTTTTGAACACAGCATTGAGGTTTTCCTTTGGTTTGCAGGAGCTTTTTGTCGGAATACTTCAAGAACAGCCGGAATGTGAAGAGGCTCAAGGATCCGAGTAAGCCAGGACAAGTGGCTCTTCCAAGGGCTTAAGGGAAGGAGGGTCATTGCAGCTTCTTCAGGAGGGGCTGACGGCAGTGGGGCCATCACGGGTGGGCAGTGCGCAGAACTGCTTTGTGGAACACAACCTCCAGCTTCGTTTTCCGTATGCCCCGTTAGTTCGTTTCCAGAGCATCCTCTTACGGAGCTGTGGCCCCATCAGGGCAAGGGAGGGAGACGCAAGAGTGAAAAGATCTGGGGCGCGTCTCAAGACTTCGTGTGGGTGTTTCATTCCTATATCCCTACATCTTGGTGCATTTTAGGTTATGGAAGGCGGAGCACCATGTCCTTTTTCCCCCTTCGCCACTGATTTCGGGTGGGAAAAATGGGAGGCTTACAGGTCTCTTCAGGGAGATTGGGGGGAAAAACAGCTTCTTGAGAAGGAGAGGTCGCTACTGACCCAGATTGGCTTGAATCGGTTCCCGAGAAAAGAGAGCAAGGTCAGAAGAGAGTTCCTTTCAAGTAATGTGCTAAAACTATCAGTAATGATTTTCTGCCCACGGAGGAACCAGTTTAATCCTCTTGAATGAAAAGGAGAAACTTTTGTCCTCTTCTGCCTTGCCTCATTCTTTGTCCAGACGGTAATTTGTGTGAACTGTCTAGCTTGACCTACTTAGCTGGATCAACCCAGCTGGAGAGGCTTCGACCGGTTTGGTTTCAAACCAGGAAGTGCTGTTCTTGACTTCCTCCAGATGGAGCTGTTGACGCCTCCAGCACAGGACACAAGAGCCTCTTGGTCACAAAAGGAGCCAGGTGTCACTCAGATTCTTTGTGCCTGATGGGTGGCGACCCCTTTCGGGAGGCACACCTCGTTGCAGCTCCGGTGATTTCAGATCCAAAGCTTTTGTTGGAGATTTCGGTCCACCTTGATAAAGGAGATGCTGTCTCCCTCCATCCAGACTTGCAAAAATTTCTGCCAACATCTCGAATAAGTGTTCGAAATGCAGCAACCAAGAAGGAACTTATTACCACACATGGTGGACATGTGAAATTGCAAAGAAATAGTGGGTTAAAATTCCTACATGGACTAAGCAAGAAATACAATTTAAACCAGAAATTTTCTTACTGGGATTAATACCAAATAATATAAACAAGCAAAGTTATTAGATAATATCACATGTCCTGACAGCAGCTAGATTAGCATGGGCACAGGTATGGAAAGAGGGAGACCCGCCAAAAGATGAATTGATTATCAAAAAAATATTAGAGTCTGCGGAAATGGACAGACTAACAACGAGACTAAAAGGGCAAGAAAAATCAATTCACTATGAAAGCTGGAACCTATGCTATGAATGGTGGAAAACAAAAGCTTTATAATACTGTAAATAGAAAGTAAATGACCAAAATGAATAATACTGTATGGGGAAAAAATGATGATGCTGGTGATGGGAGAAGTCCAGAGTAGAGTTAGAGAGCCAGTGTGGCTTGAGAACTAATGTAGTGAACAGAGTGTCATCCTAGGACTTGTGAGTCCTGGGTTCAAATCCCCGCTTGGCCTTGGAAACCCATAGGAGGCGTGTGCAACATTGGTAAACCACTCCTTGAATACTGAAGGATTTTGCCATCATTTGGAAGTGATCTAATGCCACGTAGCACACCGGAGCCCTTTAGAACAACACTGTAAATGGGCCAGAAATTTGGCGATACCTTGATTGGGGACCCATAATATTAAGACAAAAATGGAAGTTGGGGGAGCCAGTATCTGGGTCCTTCTATTTTATTTATTTAATTTATTTATTATTGGATTTATATCCCGCCCTTCTAGACAGGAGTCTACTCAGGGCGGCTCACGATTTATTGTGCACAAACATAAAAACAACAATTAAAATCTACAATAATAATATGATCAAGTTGCTATAAGTTGGTTCCGACTTCATGGCCCGGAAGAGCAGCAGAGTCACAGAGCAGCGTGGGACTGATCTGTGTAGAAAGTGACATAAAAATCTAGTGAGTTATGGTGAAATGCAGCAGGTCCTGGGAATCCAAATATTCTTGGAAAGTTAAGCAACGAGGACCGCCTATTAATTTACTTCTTTATGGCCCATTTTTCCTGTAGCGAGCCAAAGGCTCCTTTGCTACCTGATCTTTATGAATTAGATGGCCACTCAGTCAGTTTCATGGCCGAGAGGGATTTGAACGAAAGTTTCTGGAATCTCAGCCCAAGACTCGTTGATGCCCGTCTGGCTCTCTTCCCCCTCCTCATGGACGTCCTTGCACATCAGGAATATTTATTTATTTATTTTATACCCCACCCAGTTAGACAGCTTCTACTCTGGGCAGCTTACAATAGAAAGAGCATAAAAAGAATTAAAAGCAGCAGTTTTAAAACAACACTAATGATATTCAAGGTGGAAAGATCAGAGTGGAAAAGTAAAATGGAAAAATAAAGATAAAATAGTAAAGATCAAGTAGTGACAGGAGGGAAGGCCTGCCTAAAGAGCCAGGTCTTAGGTTGGCTCTTAAAAACACCCAGCAAGGGAGCCAGGAAAATCTCTGACGGGAGACTGTTCCAGAGTCGAGGGAATGTTTTAAGACTCGGTGAGCAAAGGGGATCCTACATCATTGGAGCCTTTGGTTCCACCGGTGCAAGGAGGCCACTCTTCTGAAGTCTGTTGGTAGCACTGGTGCTTTGGAAACAAGCCTTGATCTTCCTTGTTCTGTTTTCTCTTTGCTGTCCATCACAGCCATGCGCTTCCGGCTCCTTAAGCACACGAAGCTGAATGTGGTGGCCTTCCTCAGCGAGCTACCGAAGACTCAGCATGATATTAACTCCTTTGTGGTGGATGTCTGTGCGCAAACGGTAAGGGAGAGAAGAAGCTGGTTGGGGGCCTGCGATAATCAAGGATCAGGCAGGGTTTGTGGAGAAGCTTTCCCCAAATACCTTTAGACACCTCTTATAATGCCACTGTCATTTAAAATTTTTTTAAACTGTCATTTGGCATGATTCTAAATTATTTTCCTAAGCTGCCTTTGGTATTTTGTAGACTGAAGGCAGGGAGATGTGTATCTGTTTTGCTGAAAGATACATTGCTGATAGGTTGGTGCCACAATTCCTCATTGTTGAGACCTTTCCTTTCCCATTACAGAGCACGCTGCTGTGTTTCACGCTAAATGGGCTCTTCAAACAATGTGAGTTTGCCGTCAAAGTTCCCTTTGTGTCAAAACCCAAAATGCTACCGTGCCAGGTACATAGGTTGATGACCCTTCTTTGTCTGCTCTGTTCTTTTCTTTTTTTAACTCTCCAGTGGATAGCAAGTGTCGGGATTCAGTGCGGGCCTTCACCCGTGTCTTCATTGCGGTGCCAGTTGGCCACAATGGGTAAGAGAACAAGCCTTAGCACCTGGAGAGCTTCATTAACTGTGGGATGCATGCATCTGTAAGAGGGCGGAGCAGTTACCCCCAACCTTTTTCAAGCCGTGGTCCCCTTTTATAATACAGTGGTGCCTCGCTTAATGGCAATAATCCGTTCCAGGAAAATCGCCATTAAGCAAAAACATCATAAAGCGAAAATAAGCCCATTGAAATGCATTGAAAACCTTTCAGTGCATTCCAATGGGCTTAAAACTCGCCGTCCAGCAAAGATCCTCCATATGGTGGCCATTTTCGCTGCCTGTATAGCGAGGAATCCGTCCCTAAACACAGTGGGGAGCCATTTTATTTACCCGGTGGCCATTTTGAAACCGCCGATCAGCTGTTAGAAAAACGTCGTTTTGCGAAGAATCCCTGCTTCGGGAACCGATTATCGCAAAGCGAAATTCCCCCATTTAGACCATCATTTTGCGATCGCAAACAGATCATCATAATGCAGATTTGTCATAATGCAGGGCAATCGTAAAGTGAGGCACCACTGTAGCCAGGTAACCTAGAGCCCCACCACATTTGCTTAAAAAGACATTTTTAATGGGAGAAAACATCCCTTCTCAGAAAGTAGAGGCTTCTTTCTCCCTCGTCAAAGGGCCTGTTTCTCATACATTACACATGCACATCAACTTTAATATCCCACTCTGAAAGCTCAAGGAAGAAATTATTAAACAGGGACTACAAGACACACAAGGTGACCTCCCAGGAGATACTGGGAAACCTCTGAGGTAGAGCTAATGTATTGGGAGGCTAAAATATTTACAGTGAATGGAGATGGTTAGCTGGCATGGTTGTGTGCTTGAAGCAGTATGGGGCGGGATATAAGCAGCATGCTTTGCACGCTTTTTGCTAGGACCTGGGAAAGTTGAGGGCTATTAAAGTAACTCACGTATAGAATGTTTGGGGAGGTTGCTTTCCCACATACCAGTCATTCGTTTCTCCCAGTGCAAATGAACGTGAACATGTTGGCCTTCTCTGATTTTTGAAGGCTTGGTTAGTGCTTGGCAGAACTCTCCAGACAAGGCTAGGAAAATCTCCTGGCTGAATCCTCGGGAGAGCTGCTGCCAGTCATAGTTCACAGTATTGGGTCAGATGGACCAGTGATTGGTGAATGAGTGTCTTCAGTCCCTAGGCTAAATGTAACCAAGAAATTGTGGATTTGGGCTACCTTCTCCCCCCCGTCCCATGCTGGCTGTTGCACCTCTTTTTTTCCTTCTTCCTGTAGGCTGTGCATCGTGAATGACCAGTTGTTTATCCGTAAGGCCACCAACATGGAAATCCGCAAAGCCTTTGTCATGCCAGCACCCACGCCATCCTCCAGCCCTGTGCCCACCCTGACAGCAGAGCAGCAGGAGATGCTGCAGAATTTCTCTCTCCAGTCAGGAATGAACCTCGAGTGGTCCCAGAAGTGAGTCCCAAGTTGAGAGTGTGTGTGAGAGAGAGAGAGAGAGAAAAAGAGAGAGAGAGGTTGAGGGAGGGGGACATGGCCTAATGGTGCAGGGAAGCCAAAGGCTTTATGATCTCCCTCTCCCACCGCCAGGTGCCTCTTGGACAATGATTGGGACTACGCCAAAGCAGCCCATGCCTACACCCAGCTCAAGGTGAGTGGCCTTGCACAAATCAGTCACATTGCGTGTGAGTCGTGTGAGCTCCAAAATGGAAACAGGGAGTCTTTAATTACTGAAAACCTCCCTGGGTTGGCTGTGTGATCATCAACTGGGGTTCTTGAACTTCCAGATAGAACTTGTGAGAATCCTGGGTTCACTGGCGAGCTTCACGTCCTGCCTTTAACTTAGGGAGACCCAGATGTCCAAAAGGAGATGATGGATAACGCCTGGCTCTTTTCCCTTTTCACAGGCGGAGCAGAAGATCCCAGAGGTGGCTTTCATCCACTGAGCCTCGGCCCCGCGTTCTCAGACCAAAACTACAAATTTTATCTTTTGAGATATTTGTTTTGTACATAAAGGTTCGCCGTGTAAATAAAGGACCTACCGTACTGTTGCAACGACGAAGGCCGTAGTTGTGCTTTTCACCGTTTTGGGGAAAGGCAACGGCTATCAGAGGTACTGTGAAGAGGCAGCACCTCCCTCCCGCAGCAGCTGCCGCGGCAAGAAGGATTTCTGCGTGATCTGTTGGGTTTTTATTTTTATTTTTTAGAGGGCAGCACTGACCCTGTGTGGGAATTTGGAGGCCAAAGGGGGAGGGAGGGCGGGTCTCCATCCGTTTGTTCCCTCCCCACACCCTTTGATTTTGAAATCTTTCAGCCTATTGTTTGCCTGTTCCTTTTTCTGCCGCTGTTGTCTCTGGAGTCAGGTTGTGCTTGTGCCTAGAGTAAGAAAGGGTCCGCATGTCCCAACTCAACAGAGGTCCTGGTGCTTATGGGCAGAGGCCAGGTCTCCAAGCAGGGAAAGGCGAGTCACTGTCTCGTGGTACATGTTAGCTTCTTCATGGTGCCAGAGGCAGTGGATTTCCCAGTTCTAAGATGATTCTAAAGATTTTAGGTGGAGCCTAGGGTTCCGGGTGGATGTTCTCCAAGGCGTAGCTTGGGTGGGAGCATTGCTTCCTCCTCCTCTTCTAGTTCTTGACCGCTCATCACTTTACATGTTTGACCGCTCATCACTTTACATGAAAGGAAGTACAAGGTTGACATGCTCAGCCCGGAGTGGACTTTGTATTTCTCTTCCACCTCTACTTCTTGAAAACACTGTGTTTATTAAAAATTGTTATTAAAACCTTGTATCTGTGTGATTATGTTCTGAACTGGAAACAGTAAAGAGCAGTGTGGCCTTCTTAATACTAGCAAAGCTTATTTGGCATAAACCCTTGTGAACTGTGGCCTACCTCAAAAGTGAATGCTAAATACCGTATTTTTCGCTCCATAAGACGCACCTTTCCATAAGACGCACCAATTTTTAGGAGAAGAAAACAGGAAAATATAATCTGTTTTCTTTGCTCCATAAGATGCACAGACTTTCCACCACCCTCCTTGTTTTGTGGGGGAAAAAAGATGCACAGAGTTTCCACCCCCCTGTTTGTGGGAAAAAAGTGCGTCTTTTGGTGCAAAAAATACGGTAAAACTTGTTAGTAAACTAGAAACAAGGTATCTTCCTCTTTGGAAATTTACATTTCTGACCTTGTTGCTAATTCAGAAAGCTGCAACTTCAGGATTTCTTGCATGCATGCAGCTCATTTCCCTTGTCAAGGTTTTATAATTATCAGTTTTGAAACTGTTTGAAACATGTGGCATACTGTGAAATGGGGCCAGAAAAAGGACGCCCAGGTGCTGTGGCAAAGACGTTGTGCAAATGCTACAACCGTGTCTGAATAGCCTCCCGGGTGCCCATGTGGGGCCGGGCAAACTTTAGTTCACATCTGCTCATCTGTGTTGCTTTTGCACCTTTCCTGGGGAGAAGGAATGCGTCGGCCCACCTGGATCTCGCACAATAAATGGTCAGTTGAATCTGGGGAGAGGACTATGAAAATTAAAAGTGCAACACTTGCATGCAATAGTGTTGAGTTCAAAATAAAACGAGAGGAGGAGGGCTGAGTGTGTATATGCAAATAAGTGCCATACAATTGACTCCGTGCAATTCCTTTCTGGTGGTGTACCTGGAACTTCCTTACTAACTGGGCACCTGAAACATCATCACCAAGGAGGGCAATGATTGGCATTAAAGGGGTTGCGCTAATATGTCCAGATGTCGAATTCGAAGTATTTTTTAAAATGTGATTTAAAGAGGAGTCTTAAGACACACCACATGCAAGCAGTGGCCTGTGTCCAGCTGTGGCTGTGGATGATTCCGAGGGTCTGCGATCATCCCCCCCACATCGTGGCTTTATTTTCAGCCAGAATTTGGCCCTTTCAAGACAGGAGCCTTGCCTCTGGGAGTCCTCTAAAAGGGAGATCCAGCCTCCCCCCAAAAGAAGACACGGGGCCGCCTCGTTTCTGCATCAGGCGCCGCTTACAAGCCCTGATGCACCAGAAGATGCCCGGAAGTCTGGTTTATTTAAGGGGGAACTACAATTCCCAGCAGCCTCCGGGGCCTAGCAAGGGCCGCCGCCAGGAGAGAGACCCGGAATGTGGAGGTGCACGTGGGGAGCCGGGCATCGGATCTGGGGGTCTGTAGGCAGCGGCGGGCCACGCGGCTCGGGGGCGCATGGGCTCTGTAGTCTCCCCGCTGCCCCTCGCCCCGCGGGCTCTTGGCCCCGGGGCTCAGGCCAAGCCTCCGGGGCGGATCTCGCCGGGCGATGGAGGACGCAGAGCGGGTTCGCCTTGGATGTCAAGGTGCCCCAGGACATCATCCTCTACAACTACGACCGGCATCGGACTTTCTTCGCCCTGGGGTTTTTCTGCATCGCCCAGGCCGGCTTCTGGGGCTATCTGGCCTACCTGGCTTTCGACTCCTTTCGGGACCCCGGGGAGCCCCAGGAGGGTGAAAAGAAGAAGAAGAAGCTCCGGTTTCCTTTCACCCAAGGCTTGGAGGCCACCCTGGACGCGGAGAAGTGGCGTTTCGGGTTCACGGGAGCGTGCCTGGCCGCGGGTAAGGAAGCGCGGATACGGTGGGACAGGTGCCCCGGGGGTGTGTGTGTCGATAGGTGGCAGGCGCCTTGCAAAGGGCACTCATTCATCCCTTTGCAAGGACAGACGCCCCGCCTTCTGAACAGCAGGTATATAACATCTATAAAATAAATATATTATAAATAAATACAGAAAATACATTCTCTCTCTTGTCTTATATCTGAGAAAGCTGACTTGCCCCCCCCCCGAAAGCTCAATGTTTTTTGGGTTTTTGGAGAGGGGGGCATAGAAAGTTAAAAACATCTAGAAGCTGCAAAACTCACAAAACATTTTTTTGACAATAGACCATCTTGATTTAAAGCGGGTGCATTCAAATGCAACTGGTCTTTGATCTCAAAAGAAATAAAAGTAAATGTTCTGCAATCTACAAGTCTCACTAGGGAATGTCTGGAAGTTGAGTCGGGGCAACTGGATTTTTCTTGTTAGGTTGAGACGTCTTCCTTCACTTCCCCCTGGTTTGAATAGGCTCCTTAGATGGACAAAGGACAGGGGGGCGGTGAGGGATAATCCTACTTCTGCAGTCTTTCTCCACCCATTGTCATGGATGGTTGATGATCCTTAGCAGTGATCTTTCCTGTGTGTGGTCCTAATCTTTCTGGGGATGAATGAAAGGGCAACATGATAAATAGGAGACAGATTGTATCTAAGACCTCCACCCCTGTTGAGTGATGGATTTTCTATAAGTGGTCTCCCTGACTCCATTCTCAAACCAACTATCTTTATCGGGCCATGATTAGTATGTCTCGGTCATTGCTGATATACTGTAATGTCCAGTTCTGGTTAGCAACTGAGAATTTTGTATCTGAACTGCAGTTTCCAAATCAGTTTTGGAAGCAACTCTTTGTAAGGACACCTTACAATTGCTTGACTTCTGCCAAAAAAACCCCCATTGGTCCATAGAATGCAAGCCAAGCATCCAAACGAGCAGTGCTTTCCTTAGAATCCGCTATAAGTTTATAAAAATCTATACATTTATAAAACATGAAAGTGTTTGAGCTGTGTAGAACTCTTAGTGAAAAAAAAACTTAATAAAAAAAGACTAAACAAGAAGGGAAAGGTCACAGATTATCAGATGCAGCCCTTCTTAGGTTGTGGGACTACAGCTCCCATCATGACTAACTGTTGCCCGTGTTGGCTGGGGCAGATGGGCGCTGAAGTTCAACAACATCTAGAAGGCTGCTGGCTCTCAAAGGTGCTAGGCCAGTGATGGTGAACCGTTTTGATCCCGAGAGCCCAAAACTGCAACACAAAATCAACTTTATTTATTTTGAAGTGCCAATACTGCAATTAAAACCCAAATGCTGAGGTTTTCGTTTAGAAAAAAAAAACTGCTCCTGCACTGCAAGGGTTGAATGCTGGTTGTTGTATTTTCTTATGGGCGGTATTAACAAAGAGTAAATACTTCCTGGCCCTCCAATCCCCCATTGGGCTAGACTGGTATGGTTGCCATTGCACCCCTCTGCTGGACCACTGCACCAGCAGAGGGGAGTGCCAAAATCTGGGATCAGAGAATGGGTAAGTAATTCTCTATGGCGACTTATGGCTCATGCGTCCACAGAGAGCTCTGTGTGCCAGCTGTGGCATGCGTGCCATAGGTTCACCATCCCTGTGCTAGGCTATGCGTGTCCAACCTGATTGGTACCATTCCACCTATATTGTCCACCAACAACCCTACCTTGCTCAGGCTGATATTGTAATACAGTCGTACCCCGCTTTACGATTACCCTGCATTATGACGAATCCACTTCACGACGTTTTGCGATCGCAAAACGATGATCTAAATAGGGTTTTTTCGCTTTGCAATGATTGGATCCCTGATTTGGAAACCGATTCTTCGCAAAATGATTTTTTTTAACAGCTGGTCGGTGGTTTCAAAATGGCCACCGGGTAATTAAAATGGCTCCCCGCAGTGTTTAGGGACGGATTCCTTGCTATACAGGCACCGAAAATGGACGCCGTATGGAGGATTTTCGCTGGATGGTGAGTTTTTAGCCCATTGGAACGCATTGAACGGTTTTCAATGCGTTTCAATGGGCTTTTTATTTTCACTTTACGACATTTTTGCTTAACAGCGATGCAGCAGCAGCAGCAGCAGCAGCAGTAGTAGTAGTAGTAGTAGTAGTAGTAGTAATAATAATAATAATAATAATAATAATAATAATAATAATGATAATAATAATAATAATAATAATAATATCATCTTCCTTTACAGGGATTCTCATCGTGGGATCAGCCAGTCTTTTTGCTCGACGCTCCATAAAGCAGATTTTGCTGCACCGGGGTGGACAGGAAGTGTCTCTGACCACCTATTATCCGTTCGGTTTCACCTCAACCTTCACGGTACCCCTCCGTCAGGTCTCCTGCCCCGCCCATCGTTCGCAGGCCCGTGCTATGGTTCCAGTCAAGGTCAAAAAAAGGTCCTTTTATTACCTGATCGATAAACAAGGCGAGTTCACAGATGCCAACCTTTTTGACCTCACAGTAGGGGCTTACCGGGAACTGTAAATCAAGTCATGCCAAGAGAAGGGGGTGCCACCCTGACACTCGTGGTGCCCTGTGGCAGGGGAAGAAGAGGGGAAAGCATCCAAGATGGATGGATTTAAATCCAGTGGACCCGATCGGCTTGGAGCAACGTGCAAACAGCCTATTAATCCTTCCACTGTTTTAAAAAAAGAGCTGAGATTGTGCCAGGCTGTAAGCGTACTGAAATACCCTGCAGATCGTGTGCAATCGCTTTGAATCTAAATAAATGTCTTTTCTTCACACATACGCTTCTCCCCCTGATTTTTTTACAATTTAAACGTGCATCCAATAAACACGTCACAGGCAAGCAGTGGCCTGGGTCCAGCGTGGCTACCAGTGCCCTTACGCAAGGGTCTCTGATCTGGATTGGAAAGAAAATTAATTTTAATTATTTCAGGGGTGCAACACCGTTTTGCTTTCTGGAGTATTCAGTGTGGGGAAGATACCCCCCTAAAATTAAAACAATGGAGTCCCTCCGTTTTCTCCATAGAAAAGATTTCTAGACTTTTTGAACAGCTGTACCTGTATTTAAAAAACTAAAACATTTAGAGTGTATGTATGTATGTATGTATGTATGTATGTATGTATGTATGTATGTATGTATGTATGTATGTATGTATGTATGTATGTATGTATGTATGTATGTATGTATACACACACACATTCTATCTATCTATGTATCTCTTATGTATGTATGTATGTATGTATGTATGTATGTATGTATGTATGTATGTATGTATGTATGTATGTATGTATGTATGTATGTATACAGAGAGAGTATATATATGTGTGTTTGTGTGTATGTACACACACACAACACATACAGCACACACACACACACTTCCCCGAAAATAAGACCTAACCTGAAAATATACCCTAGTATGATTTTTCAGGATGCTCCTCATAGAAGCCCTACCCCAAAAATAAGCCGCAGTGAAGTGAAGCCCCACTGTCCACCCTTGTACACCAACCAGAAGATGACATGACTGTATTTGATGTGGATGGTTGTACATGAAAAAAAAAACATCCCCTGAAAAATAAGCCCTAATACATTTTTGGGAGAAATAAAACATCCCCTGAAAAATAAGCCCTAATACATTTCTTTGGGGAAACATGGTATGTGTGTGTGTATATATATATAAATATAGGGCCCCAAATATATACTGTGCCTCCTTGACAAGGGCTGAACTCAAAAAAATCGATAGGGTCCCTTTCAGCTCTGCAGTATTTTAAAAAAAAATGTGTAGAGAGTGTGTTTGTGTGTGTGACACTTCCCCTGAAAAATAAGCCCTAATACATTTCTTTGGGGAAACATGGTATGTGTGTGTGTATATATATATAAATATAGGGCCCCAAATATATACTGTGCCTCCTTGACAAGGGCTGAACTCAAAAAAATCGATAGGGTCCCTTTCAGCTCTGCAGTATTTTAAAAAAAAATGTGTAGAGAGTGTGTTTGTGTGTGTGACACTTGAAGGGGATGCCTTGCCAGCTGCAGTTGCCATGGAAACAGCCACCCTGGCTTGTCAGTGCAACCAAAATGGCCGCCACGAAGACCGAGGAGATGGGAGGTGGGGAGACCCCGGCCCTGGTGCAGGGACGCCTGGACCTCGAAACGGACCCGGACGCAAAGGGAAACCGAGGTAAGCCACCCCCTTCTTAAAACATCCCCTGAAAAATAAGCCCTAATACATTTTTGGGAGGAAACACGGTATGTGTGTGTGTGTGTGTGTGTGTGTGTGTGTATGGCCCCAAATATATACTGTGCCTCCTTGACAAGGGCTGAACTAAAAAAAAAAACGATAGGGTTCCTTTCAGCTCTGCAGTATTTTAAAAAAATATGTGTAGAGTGTGTGTGTGTGTCTGTGTGTGTGTGTGAGAGAGACACTTGAAGGGGATGCCTTGCAAGCTGCAGTTGCCATGGAAACAGCCACCCTGGCTTGTCAGTGCAACCAAAATGGCCGCCACGAAGACCGAGGAGATGGGAGGTGGGGAGACCCCGGCCCTGGTGCAGGGACGCCTGGACCTCGAAACGGACCCGGACGCAAAGGGAAACCGAGGTAAGCCACCCCCTTCTTTCTTTTCGGTCCCCGCTCCCTTTCCCGATCGGATCCCCACCCCGCTGCCTTCGGCCTCCTTTCCCACTCGCTTCCAAAATGCACCGTGGTGGGATGCTCGCCCCCCACATCATCCTTGAAATTTAGCACTCTCCATAGGCTTTGGGGTGGGGAGGGAACAGGACAATTTCATTTACACCCCCTCCCTTTAGCAAGTCCATAGCTTTCTTCTGCTTGCCTTCAACTACAACTCCCATCGTTCCCAACCCATACAGCAACAAATGTATGCCGTAACCCATGTGTGTGGCCGCAGGGAAGGGAGGTTAGCATGTTGGGAAAGGCAGGAGCAATGCCATTCTGCTTTAATATGTCGATTAATAAGGAATTATCTCTCGCACCTCCCCCCATGAATTTTGCTTTTCATTATGGAAAAAATAAGTTTATTCCACTTCCCCATAGCTGGACCCCATCCTCATTTTGTGAGCTGTTTTGGACCTCCTCAGTTTCTGCATAACTTTACCCTTAATTTTATTTTCCGTTGCTCAGAGGTTTCAGGACAAGCCACCGTTGCAAGCTCCTTAAAAAAGTCCCTGGATTTACCCGAATTGGTCGGGGTGGGAGGAAAGACTTGATTTATTTATATCCAATATTTGCACACCAGGGCATTGCAGCGTTACAGTCCTGGCTCAGGACATGAAAGAAACCCATTCAGATCCGCACTAAGCTATGAAGCTTGGATGACCTTGGCGGGGTCATCTGCATTCTCCCAGCCTGTCTATTTCACGGGCTTGTTGTGAAACGAGAAGACAAGCCATATACCCTGTCTGCAGCTTTGGGGAGGAACGGCAGGATCCAAAAGCCCCAAATAAATATTGCCCCATAACATATATTGAGCTGATGGACTTGTGATAATTTTGGATGTTTTTCTGTTTGCAACTTAAGACATTTCTTTGATTCTTCTCCTGCCTTTCCTCCCAAGAATGGGACTCTAAGATGGCTTTAAATACAGCAGATACAGCTAAAAGATGAAATAAACAAGTGTTTTATTTCCAACACAGGAAAATACAGCATTGGTCTGGTTAAAAGTCTTTTCTACAGGGGGGTGAAAGATGTACAGTATTTGTTATGTATGTGCTTCTTTATTAGGCATGTGTGATTCTGAGCTCTGTGATCTGATAACACGAGAGTAAAGCCCCACCCTGGAGAAAGCTACTAAAGGACATTGCTAAAATAATCTTAGTGCTAAAATAAAGTCTAAATCCCCCCCCCCGTATTATGGGGAGGCAGCCAGGGGTGATGTCTGTCTCAAGTCCCAAAATCCACCCACAACTAGAGTAAAGCCAGATGGCCGAAATATTTGATCTTGCATTAGGAAACATCACATAAATTGGGCCAAGGACTCTAATGACCTGACACCTGAGCTGGACAGAGTGTCCTAGTTGCCAGCTTAGCCAGAGATATGGTTGTTTCCGCATAGCCGGGGATGCTATGCAAGCTTTAGTGCCGCCAGATCTTCCACCCTAAGCAGCTGCCTCGCTTTTGCTTGTGATGGGCAAACCTTTCCCCAGAGAAACTTGATGCCAAGTTTCATATGGTATGCTATTCGGTGGTACAGAATTCTCATGAAATCAAACCTTACGGCCATGCGTCAGTTTTTCGGTTAAAACATGTTCAGTAATTGACGTGACGTTTCTAGACCTTTGATATTTCATAATTTGTCCCAAGGTTTTTACTTTTCTAGCATCGAGCTGCAGATGTAAGGATGTGTCGTTGGGGACCAAGTTTGTGCATGTGCAAGGGAGAGAGAGTGTGTGTAAAAAATGATGGATAGAGACAGACAAATTTCAGAATCTATAAAGTTCCATTATGGGTTGTAAGCATTTGAAGCCGTATTCAAAAGTCTGGAAATGTTATGTTGTTTGGAATACAATGTCTTTCATCCCACTGATCATGCTGGCTGGGGGAATCTGGGAGATGTAGTCCCAAAAAATAGAGGATATTTTCAAGTTTAAACAGGGGCCTTGTTCTTCGCCTTAAGGAGCCGTGTGTGAGAAAGGCAGGAACAAGAGGGGAGCCAACGTTCTTCCTGAATCTATTAAATCTGTCACTGCCTATAAGCAACTTAAACCATGCTCCTCCCCATACATACATTTGTCTGCACTTCGTAGGCAGAGTGAACGTATGAGGTTTTTTTTGTTGTTCGCTTGCTTGCTTTTCCACCTCAGGCACGAAAATATCCCCGGTACTGAATCAATTACCCCATTGATCTTGAAGAACAGGCATAGATTTGTTCAACGTGTGTCTGATCCGTCCCATTTTAAACCGTGTCGTGTCCCCTTCCGTAATCCAAACTGTAGCAAGATTGTCAGGGAAAGACATCAGCTATAACTTTTCTTCTTATTTGGTAGTGTTTTCATACGGAGCGATTATTAGGGGATGGGGAGGTGGGCATATGGAGTGATTATTAGGGGACGGGGAGGTGGATAAATATTTCGTCCATTATTACACATACATACATACACACATCACACACACAATACTACACATAGCTGCTTCTATAATGCTCACGTATGGGCTGACCACATCAGTGAGTGCTTGTACTTGTTGGGTTTGAAGCCTTGGTTGCTTCCTGGATCAGAATCGCAAAACAGGGTGTGAAGGACTCACCTTTATTTGTATGCTCTGTTATCATTCTTTGAGAGCTTTACAGGCTCCACTTGATGTGTTTGTGAAAATTATGGCCTAATTTCACCCCCATAATCCTCACGCTTTGGGTCGCAGCCATACAGTTTTCTATTTTTCACCCCTCCACAGATCTCCCATCGGAGCTGCACTGAACAGGGGAAAAGGAAACGGTCACATCTGTCCTTCATTTCTCTCACTCGCTTACAATTCTGAGAAGCAGCATCCTTTGGCAGGACGGGAAGCTCTCAGATCGCTTCATGAACTGGTGCTATTCCCACCCTGTGTGTAGAATGGAACTTTGGGACCACCTTGCGGGTGGGGGGGTAGGCAACCAGGATTCAAACCCGGTCCTGTCAAATGTGTAGAATGGAACTTTGGGACCACCTTGGGGGGGGTAGGCAACTGGAATTCGAACCCAGTCCTGTCAAAGCTTGATTGTATGTGTATGTGTTTTTTTTTTTTTAAAGGATAGACACCTGGAATTTAAGAACTGTTAAACCTT